AAAAAAAGCACTAGCCTTTCTTTTATTATCAACAGGAAACAGGAAAAAGAGTGTCTTTTTTGTCAAGTTTTCTACGTGAGGAAGAAGGGTGTGGTAACCTAAAGTTTGTGTGAAAAAAATTATCGAAATATTGTCATGCTTGACGACAACAATCTTTTTCAACGTGCGGCCTCATCCGCCTATGCTTCCATGGCTGCATTTACCGCTGCAGCAAATATGTACAATTCGTTCTATCCATCAACATCCAACACCAATGTCAATATGGATCCAGTGAACTATATCAATTGTCAAGGTATGTGAAGAATCAATTTGAATAAAAGATAATCGTAGTTTTGTGTCGTTAGATATGAAAAGAGAAAGACTGGATCCGAAAGTTCGTGTTAAACTCGAAGATATGGATTTATGGTCACGATTCTATTCATTAGGAAATGAAATGATCATTACAAAGTAAAATCATTTTTCGTATTTCTCATTTCATTACATAGCTCATTTTTAAGTAGAAATGGTCGTCGTCTTTTCCCGAATCTTCGCGTCACTATCAGTGAACTCGATCCAAATACAAAGTATATGTTTCTATTAGATATTGTTCCAATGGATGATAATCGATATAAATATCATGAATCATCATGGAATATATCAGGCAAAGCCGAACCTCATATGTATGGACGGTACTATGTTCATCCGGATAGTCCACAAACAGGGGCACAATGGATGAAACAATCAATTCTTTTCAATAAAGTCAAAATTACTAATAGTCCAATGCAAAATCCAAATCATGTAAGTTCCGTTGAGGCAAGAGGTGGATTTTGAAAATGGTTGATGTGTATTTATAGATTATTTTGAATTCAATGCATCGCTATATTCCGCGTTTACATATTGTTCAAGCCTCGGATAGTTATTCGATGCGAACAGGCCCTTTGAGTACATTTGTTTTTCAAGAAACGGTGTTCATCGCTGTAACAGCATATCAAAATGATCAAGTAAGAAAATGAAGATAAGCATATTCGTGAAATTATCGTGATATTTTAGATTACAAAATTGAAAATTAATAACAATCCATTTGCAAAAGGTTTTCGAGAGCCAACACATGGAAAAAAGTAAGAGCGACATTGCCGAAAAAGACAATACAAGTATCGAACACGATTTTCCTTAAATAGGGTCAATACAAAACCACTGAAACGTCTTCAAACAAATCTTCCCTCGGAGAAATCATTGAAATACGATGAAAATCTTCATCGTCCGTACAAAAATGATTCTTCTCTACTATCTGTCAATTCGAGTTCACCACCATTACAATCAACAATGCACGGTGCAATAGCTGATTCAACAACACCCACCTACCTCGACAATAGTGTTGGTGATCATGAACAAGACAGTGATATGAACCCAATGAATTTTTCCTCATCGTATCATCAACATTTTCAAGCCAATTCTTTCTACAGTAGTTATGCCAGTGATTCTTCATCAATGATTTACAATCCGGCGTATACGTACATGAACTCTGCAGCAAATCCAATTCCTTCAACCTCAACTCCAATGCATTTTAATCCATATGGACGATATCCATCGTCGGTTTATCCAACAAATAATTACAATCCTGCTTTCTTTTGAATGTAAACAGATATTCTCTTGTTGTTGTTGTTGTTGTTTTTCTTTTTGTCTTGTGTATATTTATTCCATAATAAAATCCAACAATCAAATTGAAATCATTTCAATTACTCAAATGACTAAACGAACGTGTCAATTCATAGAATATATTATACATTTACGAGAATACTTCTGTTTAATATAGTAAATGGGATTTTCACACTAGAACAATGTATCCTCTTGTGCATTCGATTCGATGACATTATTAAAAAAACCAATAGGAGACAAATATTCGTTTTCAATGTTGTTCCTCTCTATTCATAAACGATTATAGTCGCACATCGTAAAAAAGAGAAAACGTATGCTTCAATCGAAATGTCTATTAAAGAAGAATATGAACTATCTTTCAGATGTTTAGTACAATGAGAAGGATAAAACGAAGAAAATTGCTTTTTCTTTACTCTCACTTTCTATTGGATAAATCCAATCATTGGATGCGAAGCAACAGAAGAAAATGACAGTTTTTTTCTCTTCTGCTTCTCTCTTTCTCTCTCTCTCTCTCTGTCATTGTATGACAACATTATACCAATTGTTTTGACCTGAACATAAACGATATACATCACACATCAGAATCGATTGAATTACATCAGAAATGTTATCCTATTTACAACCTCAACTTGGATCTGATCCTATGCTTGCCATCTGTTCGACATCTTCCGATGAAGGAAATAAATCGTCATATCCCATTGAAGATGATGCTGAAGGCATCTTCAATCCCCCAACATCTTCATCGTTGTCACGAATGCCGTATCATCATCCTCATCATCGATCACAAGTACCTTTTGTCTACGGACATACGCCAACACCAGCGTATGGATTTGGCTTTGGTCTCTATGATGACATGTCACCGTTTTCAGGTAAAATCATTTGAAAGAACAGAGATATGTATGAAGATTTGAATCGTTTAGATGCGAGTCGAACACCATATTCGTTCATCCATACAACAAAACGTGCTGATCCGAACATCGATGTTAAACTTGACAATTTAGATTTGTGGAAACGTTTCGCAGAAATGAATTTAGAAATGATTATTACAAAAAATGGAAGGTAAATATATTGAGAAAAGATACTCTTTCGTCGAGACTCTATCGAAGAATAATTAACTGACAAGTCACTTGATTGTTCTCGTCATATAAGTGGCCTGACTAGTTGATCAAGTTGTATGTGTGTGTGTGTGCTCTCTGCTCACCTTATTGTCTGAATCTCTTGAGAGATGTGCGTTCATGCCCAGTTGGTGTTTCATATCTTGAGAAGGTGACATGTCCACTGTTGGATACATCTGCTCGTTGACTGACGCTTCCTTACTGTCTGACGTCAATGATGATTGAACAACTAATTGATTTTTCTTCTTCAAACTCAGCAGTGATCGATGTTTACATATCAAGATATATTTTTCTTTTAAGACGAATGTTTCCAACGTATAAAGTCTCCTTAACTGGTCTCGATCCAACGAGTAAATATATCATTTACCTGGATGTCGTACCCGTTGATAATCACCGATATAAATATCATAATTCTCAATGGATGATTACGGGTGCAGCTGAGCCACACAGTAAGTTGAATGTCTTTAAATCAAGTCAAAGAAATAGAACGAATTTTTTCATGTATTTTATCAGTGCCGGGACGCTTTTATCCTCATCCAGATAGTAACTCCACAGGAGCACAATTGATGAAACAACCATTGTCATTCAGTAAAGTTAAACTAACCAATAACACTGCTGATCAAAATGGACATGTATATTATCGAAACTAAACTCGAATTTCATCTAATTGGTGCTTTTATTTAGATTCTATTGAATTCTATGCATAAATACATTCCACGTCTTCATATAATTCAAGCAATAAATCCATCGAATAATGATGCGAAATTATCTATGACACCGTTTGATAATGTTAATGTATTCGTGTTTCCAGAGACTCAATTCATTGCCGTAACTGCGTATCAGAACGAACAAGTAAAAGAATTTCTTTTCAAGAACGAAACGATTAATTTTATCTTTGTTCTAGGTTACTCGGTTAAAAATTGATCACAATCCCGTAAGTGAATGAAGTAGTTTTTAGAAGTAATTCTTTCATTTATTTTCTTCTTTAGTTCGCCAAAGGTTTTCGTGAAAATAATGGACATGCTACACGAAAGTAGGTTTTTGATGTTAAGATTTAATCATAGATCATCTACGTTGGTTTTATTTGTGTATAGAGATGCAAAAAATATCAAACGACATATTGACGATGATTACAATCGAAGATTGAAATGTGACGGTATGTCTCAAAACTTGTTTCTACTAATTCAAATTCATGTTTGTCTTTTCTTTGTATAGATTTATATTCCACACCTGAATCATCAAAACGATGTAAATCAAGTTCAGGAGAAGAAGATCATACTCCTCCTTCTCGTACTGTACCAACAAGTAGTACAGTTGATGTTCCTGATTCCACCACTCCATTTGCAGATCTTTATGAAAATCAATTTCCTTCGCATCAAACACATTTCTATGATCCAAATATATACTCTTCACCTTATTCTCGTTTCACTCCAACATATCCATTCACTTATTCACCAATGGCACCGACTTCTTCGACAAATCCATTTACTTTAGCAGCAGCAGCTGCAAGTCGATATTCTTCTCCATACACATTTTCTTCACCGTACTACCAACATTCGACTTGACTTGATTCGAACAATTCTCTCTTTTTTTTTTAAATTTGTCTATAGAACATTCATCATAGCGTTTGTTGTCTTTTGGTTTTGCGAAATATAAAACATATATGTTAAAAGAAATTCGTTACTTGCAAGTATTCACTATCGTTTGCGCACAACAACACAAGACTTGTATTTCCCTTGCGAAATGAAAACATAAGATTAAGTCGATACAAACAATATTGTAATTTCTATTTGATAAGAATACCAAAAAGCACTAATATATAGAACTTGAAATAAAAATGATAAAATGAAGAGAAAGAAATGTAGTGTCTTATTTTTTAAAACGTGAATCTTTGTTTCTATTTTAAATATGACGTGTTAAACCAAAATTTTGGCCAGATTGACTTGCACCTTTGTTCATACCGTCGTTAAGTAAGCCGACCATACCTTGTCCAGCACGTAGTTGTTCTTCAGTAAACTGACGTTGGTTGCCATCAGANAAGAGAAAGAAATGTAGTGTCTTATTTTTTAAAACGTGAATCTTTGTTTCTATTTTAAATATGACGTGTTAAACCAAAATTTTGGCCAGATTGACTTGCACCTTTGTTCATACCGTCGTTAAGTAAGCCGACCATACCTTGTCCAGCACGTAGTTGTTCTTCAGTAAACTGACGTTGGTTGCCATCAGACATTTTAGGGCCGAGGGTCGGTCCGTTGAACTTCTTCTTTTGTGCATATCGACCAAGTGCATGAATACATTGTGTTACTTGAGGAATATTTCGTTTCTCGAAAAGATCAACTGTTTGAAAAAGTTCAGCATCAGGTAAACCATAAGCACGAGCAGCATTTTCTATTTTATATTTGATTTTATAGAAGACAATTCCTTATTACAATTACTTACGAAATGCAGAAACATTTTCACGTAATTTAAAGCCACCACCAGATGTACAAATCTTTGCAACAGAACCCGGCTGGAGTTTGTTTATCAATCTGTAATTGTTTCCAAATATCAGATAATGAGTATTTGAAAAGAGTATGTGATTTACTTGCAGAGTAGAATCCCATCTTTAAGTGCATCGTCATACGGAAGATTTGGAAATTTCTCCCCAATGACAGCCTCGATCCATTCTTGAGCCTCTCGATCGAGATCTGTACTACGTTTACCAGCAATCTAAACATTTTCCATGAGTAAGTACGCATACAAACAAAAGAAATAATTGATTACGTTCTATATAATCATTTTATGATGATAGCTCAAGGCGTTCTGTAGGTCATGGTTTACAATTAAGAGAATTACGACAGAAATAACAATTACATATATTCACGTTTACACGTCCTTTTTTTGTCAAGTCGAAATTTGGTTAGTAGTGAGAAAAACTAACATATTGTTCATGTGTTTTCATCAGTTGTTGAAACTGCCGATCGGAAAAGAGACTCTTACCTTTGCTTGATTTTCAGCTAAAGATCCGTATGAAGGTCCGTAATTAGCCATTTTCTCTGTTTGATGCTTTGCAAATACGCCAACTAGAAGTGATAGTCTTTTGGTACAGAAGTGATATCAGCGAGTAGCAAAAAAAAAATTATCCAGATATTGCCAAACAGAGATATATCCGAAGTGGGCGTAGCGGGAAAAAGAGAACGAGAAAGGAAGAAAAAAAGGAAAGAGAAACGATCGTCAAGGACATTATTGGTAACTTATAGGAAATACTACATTCCTATTGAAATTGCTTGTTACTATATTTGGAACATGGTTCGATGTAGTCATGTCGAAAAGTGTTAATAAGTTCAAGAATTGTATATATCTCTCTATGTAGATGGGGGAAGAATGATATCGAATACCCAATGAGATATAAATTGATCTCTATTTTTCGAGACAGCTGATCATGATGTACCTGTTACGCTTTGACTTTGTTTCCAATGATGACAGATACTGTTTTCTCTTCCAGAGAGAAACATTGGATTTCTTTCGCTACTTTATGTTTCAGTGCATATTCTTCCGTAGCCAAATTATGCATTAGATCAGTCATATATACAGTCAACATAACATGTAACGGAACAAAAGAGCAGATGTCATCTTCTTTTAGTACATCGTATCTCATGAAAAATTTCTTTTCATGTCATTTTCTTTCCTTTGAATGTCCAAAAACATTGGTTCAACTATAAACTATTATCATTGATAGAAACTAGCACGATAAATGATATATGATGTATTCACAAACAAGATGTTCTCATGCTAATGATCAAATCTCTTTCTATATCGGATTACATGTTATGTCATTGCTTATTATCATTATCAACTTCCATCACTGTTACAATGGAATATGATCAAGATAAATAGAAATGGCAACTGTTTTTTTCTCTCTATTTCTGATTCCTTTCAATGGTCTTGAAAGATATCTTTTTATATCACTGTGGGATAAAGGAGAACGACTAATGGATTCGATTGCACGGAATAACCTTTCATCTGCATTCTATTTTAACTCGATATCAACAGCTTGGTTTGAAAATGTGCACAGAGCTAAAAGGCAATTCGTTTTTTTTTATTTAAAAGCGATACAGAGATGATCTCAACAATTTGCACTTGAACTAATTCTCCATCAAATGGTACTGATAAATGTAGGTCAGATAAATTACAAAGAACTTTAATTCAGCAGCTACAGAGAACATTGTCTAATGTTAATGAGTTGACTCTCAGTGAATCATCAGAAGAGATCTCGCAAAAAATGATTACTCTAACGTATTCTGTTCAAATTTACACAAATCATCATCTTCAAACAGTGTTGAAAGCAATTGATAATCTTTATTGAATAGATTCAAGAAAGCTTTTTTCATTCGTTTGTTCGCAAATTTTAAGCATAAATGAAATTCTACAACGGATTTATTATATACAATGTCTGTTTTATTACGCATCGGATTTCATACTGCTTTTGAATTAGTCTTGGTGTTGTTGTAGAACAATGGAAAACAACTAATAGGCACCACTGTACAGAATAATCTCTAATCTGAGTGATTTTCATAAATTCTTCTTTATTTCATTAATAATGAGCTCGAATATATAGAAAAACTTAAGCAAGCATGCAAAGATTCGTTTGTATAATAAGCAAATACGTTCTACAAAATTTCTCTTCAACTATAATCATAAATGATAATTATTTAGATAAGAAATTTCAATGTCTGTTTGTCTTTCAATCACAAATTCAAATATGTCGAGTAAGACCAAAATTTTGACCAGATTGATTTGCTCCTTTATTCATACCTTCGTTCAATAAAGGAAGAGCATTTTTTGCCGCATTGAGTTGCTCTTCAGTGAATTCTCGCATATTGGCTTCAGACATTTTAGGACCGAGTATTGGACCATTGAAATGATGTCTTTGTGCCTAAATGAAGATAATGTAGATTTAGCTATGGCGTAAAGATATATCTTACATGACGACCAAGCGCAAATAAACATTGTGTTACTTGTGGAATATTACGTTTTTCGAAAAGATCGACACTTTGAAAGAGTTCTGCATCTTCTAGTCCATAAGCACGAGCAGCAGTTTCTATATTGTGTTTGATATTGAAATATTCTCGTAGAAATAATTCAGTACTTACGAAAAAGTGCAATATTTTCACGAAGTTTGAAAGATCCACCAGACGTTGCATATTTTGGAATACTATTTGGTTGAAGTTTATTCATTAATCTGATAGTAGTTAGCAAAGTTTCAATGGTAAAGATAAAACAAGAACTTAGTAAACATACTTGCATAAGATGACACCATCTTTCAATGCATCTTCGTAGGAACCATTTGGAAATTTCTCACCAATGATCGTTTCAATCCATGTCTGAACCTCTTGATCAAGTGCTGGATCTCGTTTCGCTGAAATCTAAACACTCAATAAAGTTTTACATATGCGTTCATTCTTATGCCGTCATGTACTTTTGCTTGATTAGCTGCTAACGATCCATAAGCTGGTCCAATATGAGCCATAGTTTCTAACTGACGATGTATTATAGATTTAGTTTACCGAAAATGAGCTGGAGATAAAGTAAATGTACCCGCTGTATAGTTGATGTAGATATCGTCTTGAGTTAACAGAAGATGTCGTTCCAAAAATGGAAAGAGCAGAGAAAATATCGCGAGAAAATGGTAGATAAATAATCTTTTCTTCCCCGAGATATCGCTGTAGACATACATGAGATGGCGTTTCCTAAAAAGCAACTATTATCAGCAGAAAAATCATAGAAAGAATTTTCTTTCTGAAGATATCGCTGTAAATATACAGAAGATGCCGTGCTAAATGAGGAAAATATTGACGATGACATTAGTTGAGATAGGCCAAAAGAATTATGTTCCTTACAGAAAACTATATGACGAGACTAATCTTTGCATCAATAAACGTCTACAGATCAGCTATATTTTTACTTGTGCTGAATAATCAAGTGCAGATATTAGTGAAAATGTGATCACTTTCATTGTGACATAAAGAAATAAGTGAATCACGGATGTTATCAAAAAGGAAATCTTTGACAAACCTTGTATTTTACTTGTATCGTTGAAAAAGAAAACAGCAACAGTCAAACAATATTTGAGAAAACGTTTCGTCCAGTCATAGATATCAAGGATAATTTACAAAACAAAGAAAACAATGATAGAATAACAACAATAAAGTAATAAAAGATATTTGAACGTTAGATATTCAGTTTTCCTACTATCACTAGCTATCGTGCTATTATCTCCATTAGTTGGTGTACTCAACTCACTGGGAGATTGTTCTACAATTGCAATATCTGCACAGTTGTAGAATTCTTCTTGTTGGTCAGCACAACCTAAACATTTTCGTCCTTTTTGATCTTTTCCCCACGTATTTCCTGCATGATATTTCCATTGAAGAACACAATGACTGCACGATACGATGTCTGGAGGTAATTGAACGGGCACATAAAAGTAAGATTTATTTCCGTGTGGTAAATAATATCTTGTATCGTCTCCATTAGATTTCGAGTCACTCGGACCGATAGTTAACAAATGTTGATCAAGACATCGTTGAGTTAAACGACGTGGTCGGTGTGCTCCTCCCATATTGAGTGGACACAAACGAAATTCAAAATAACCAAAATGATTCGCAGTTATATCAATTGTTGTGTTGATCATTTCGCCTGATTCGTATGTACGACCAATGATACCTGTTGCATATATCCCACCATCTTCGTGATCACGTGGACCTTGAAATGGATCTCCACAAATACCACATCGACCGTGTTGATTACCCCATTGATTTTCTTTTCCACCACAGTAGTTACTCATATCATTGTAATTTGTTGGAACATCGAATCCAAAGCGCCACATTGAACCTAAAAACTCTATAGCAAATCAATACGAATCGATGCGTTCCTCTTACCTCTCTGTGGTGGTTCGAGTAATCTTCCGTGTGAATTACTAGATCTGATCATTAAGACCAAAATGAAACAATTTAGAAGAATTGATTGGCTCGAAACCAACGTACATTTCATGAACATGGCATTCAATTCTTCATTGAGTATGTTCAATAAATTCAATCTCGTTATAATTGTCTCGTCATACAAAACGAAAGAAAATCAAAGATCGAAGTTAAGCTCTATGTCAACAGTTCATTAGGGCTCATACAAGTGTTGGACATCGTTGCAAAGATAAAAAAGATGATGGAGAGAGAGAGAAAGAACGAATTGTGCACGAAACCTTTCGTTTTATCATTTAACTCCGAGGTTACAATGATAAAAACACATTCTTACTAAACAACTATTGTAAGTCCATCAATATGGCAAGAATTTTAAACAAAAATATATTGTTAAATGTCATGCAATCTATATGAGCAGTGCAACAATTTAACAAAAGATTCTCATATTCTTATACTATAGAATCTATTCATACAATAATAATTTCTCTCCACTCGAGAGTGAGACGGCTTTTTGAATCCCAGAAAACGACATCACTTGGTAGAAAATTCAATTCTGAATAGTGCTGAGATACTGATTGCTTTGTTAAAAGCGACAGGTATCTTGAGAACTGATCATCAATGTTTCAACACAATTAATTGTTCGACAAAATTTTCGATTCGTCATGAGATACATCACTCTGTACTCTACAAAAAGGTGTCTAAAATAGTTTTTGATGATGCATATTGTTCTGAATATGTAAAAAGTGAATTCAATGAAGTGGAATTTATTCCAAATGGACACGATTTGGTTTTTGAGGAATGTTTTGTTATAAAAGTGGTGAACTTCATTCGAAATGATGACTTAGAAACAAACAAACAAACTTAGATCTCATGATATTATTCTACGACTAGATAACCACTGACATCACGTTTGAGGCAAAGAATTTTTCGAAAAAGAGTGCGCTACCTTACAACTGACTAAGAGAACTATTCGACAAAAAGAATTTTCTCCTATCATATGAACGATCATTCAGTAGAATGAAAGAATATTGATGATTTCGAATAAATTTAATCGTTTCCTCATATAATGAATCATAGTTCTTGACTATCATAGAATTATTAGATGATATGAAGTAGCTTTTGCATCCAAAATACGTGTCGTTTGAAATTTATAGATCTTCAAATTTCTTTGAATGTCACGGTACATCATAGATTATAAATATCACTGGAAGAAAGACAAAATTCGGAATAATACTCTATATCCAAACAAATCATATTACTGTGAAAAGGTATTTCTTTCTTTTTATGAAATCGATATGTCACAAATATTTTGAAAGAAAACAAAAAAAAATTCATTACAGTTTTTCTCTTCTAAAGAATTAAATAATTAATTGTTTGTTGAATTGACTTGTCGATCATTTTCAATTTGTAAAACATTTTTTTGTTAAACTCGTTAAACATTCTGAATTGAAATCGGAATTAGAATAACCTTGAAAACTCCGTTCTCTCTCTTTCCCTTATCGATGTGAAGCTAGCACGAACAAACAGTGTGTTAGCTTCACACTGATAACGTTGAACATAACAATTCAAGACATGTAAACAGCAGTTGATAATATTTTTGGTAAAACATTGCATAAGGAGATTCTTTTCTCGCCATTTTACTTCCATTTTCTCCAATTGCATCAGACTGACTGCGGATGATCGGCAAAGAACTCTACAAAACAAAGATTAGTTATTGATATTCTCTTTTCAATCAATGCTGTGAATTTGATCATTCGAAGAAGGAAGACAAGACTTTACTTGAGTGGGACTTTGATCAAATAATTTTCTTTTGACATTTGCTGAAGGAGTAGGAGAATGGAGAAATAATTTTGAGACATTTGGTGGTGTTTGCAGTGTTAATTTGATGGTTAATTGTTGAATTTGTTGATAAATTAGAATTCCTTTGCATTTGATTTCATTTCGAAGATGAGAATTGTGTTCAAATGCTAATGAAGATAAAATAATTTCTTCGATCGATGATAAATATTTAATAAATAAATGAGATTTCCAGATTTGTTTAGTTGTTCTCAAATAAATTTCGATAATTTTCAAGAAGGAATAACCTTGTCAAGAATAAAGATCAAATATCTGTGACACATAAACATCCGAATATTATCGAACCATTTACACCTCAATTCTATGCACAAATTCATGATAAAGATTTGAATGTGGATGAAACAGCATTATGCAGAATTGCGATACTCATCTTTCGAGAAATGATCAAAGTAAGAGAAGAAAATTTGTTCTTTCTCACTAAAAGTTGCTTTGAATTCAGGTTTGTGGTCATGTCAGTGAAATAGCGCTGTGTTTATTTCATTCGCACACACCAATATCAAGTATTGCTCAACATTTCTTCGATGAACTATCATTACGACAACGTGGCATGGCACTATTCAATATTTTGCCTGATATCATATCTCGTTTATCAATGAACACCATATGTTCCAAGGATAGTTTTCAATAAATCATTTCGCACTTATTTTCATGTATCAAAAACGATCGTCATTGTGAGATTTTAGTTAAACGACTGTGTAGACAATTCAACCAAGCATGGTAACTAACCTCATTGACTTACCGCTCTCTATTCTCTGTACTCTTAGTGGTGATGATCGTAAACGAGGAAATATCGCTTTTTGTCTGAGTAAATGGAATATCAAAACATTGGCATCGTATCGTATACTGAAAGAGAACTTCCCAATGTTACCGAAACGAATGGACAGACTGAAGATGATTATGATGAAGAATAAAATTGTGTTGTTCTGATTATTTAGAATAAATTGATATAAAAACGCAAAATGCATGAAAAGAAACTTGCTTTGCTTTGTGTTTTGCTATCTGTCGATAAATAACGGCTAAAGCACAAGTGGATATGTGACTTAGCGACGAGTATGGAAATTCAGTAAAGTCTAGCCGTTTATGATTTCATAGGGGATACGAAATGTAGGTGCTGGTACACACTTCGTGTTTGGTATGCAATAAAAGCTTTATTGGAATTCACAATTGTAAAAAGAATTAAAATCTTGAGTCGGGTGGATATTTTAATGATTGTATTTACTGAAAACTCATGGAATTTGTGAAAATTCAAGGATTGCAAACGGTAACCGATTCATCGGCGTAGAAAATCTAACGCCGATAGAAACGCGTATATTTGGGATGATGGTAGTTCCTACGTAAGGCACATCATCAAAACTGAATATCTCCTTTACAGCTTAAGCAAATGAGCTGATTTTTTATCCATGATAGGGACGTGTCCAAGCTTCATATTTATATTGATGAAGAGACGCCTAGAGAAACTTCGATCAAGAATTTATATTAGTCAATGATGATATCGAATTATGCCAGACAATCTGTCATTGTGTAGCTGATCGTTGTCAAGTGTGTATTAATGCAGAAGGGAAACCATTCGGACATTTGCGCTAAAGCATTGTTCATTTAAGGAGATATTCAGTTGTTTTGGGGTTAAGTGACTTTTGTGTCCCTCTATATTTAAGTTCTCCGCTTCATGATAGAACTAGGAAATATTTGTTTTTGCTGGATTTCAATGCAGAGATTTGTGAAACTTTTTCAAAATCCCACCAGTCTTCATTTAATTCAGGTAAAAGCTCGAACCAAATTCTATCGCTCATATTAAAATTCATAAAGATAATTCGACCTTGAAATAAGTTGAACTTCTCTGCAACAAATCATTTATTTTTACAAAACAACTTTCGAGTATTTCATTCAGTTTTTCATGCAAGTTAAACGAAAGGTTTTATCTTTAAAAAAAGGTCGTTTATTTGATAATGAAAAACGCTAACAAAAAGAGAAAACATATGTCATGAATTTAAGTTAACGATTAACGGTTCTTTCATAATTTCGGCAAATATTTTGAGAAAGCGAACGACAACTTCTGCTTCGCGACTTAACGAACAACAAACAAATGATGATAGTGATGATCATCGAAACAGTCCTAAATGAAAAGAAGAAAAAGTTGTTCTTTCTATTATTCATCTATATATATAAAGAAGAAAGTTTGTCTGTTTGTTCGCTATGCATTCAGTCCCTGTAGTAGCTATCGGCGTGAAACTTTCCACAATGCTTCCTGAGACCCAGAGGAAGGTCGACATCTACTTTTCACCGAGAACAAAGGAACCAGCCGTTTGCTACAGGCAGTCTATGAAACTGACCAATAGGATTTCAGGATTTCAAAAGGGGGTGAAATCAATAGCGAAGGCCGTCTGAGCGCTTAAAGACAACAATCCACGTTTTCTCTACGCCTGTGATAGTTCGGTGAATGCTACAGATAATCTGCGAAACTCATCAATAGCGTTACAGGTTCTCAAAAGATTAAGATAAATGATGAGGGTGGGTGAATTCGAAGGATATAAGGTATGAAATGACGTGAGAGTGAGAAAGAGGTCGATGAATGAATAGCTGGAGTGGAAAATGAATATCAGAGAAAGAAGAAATTTTCATGATTTCTGAGGCAGAAATGAGCTTCGGTTACTCTTTTGCATAAAGAGATATAGCCGAAACTGACTTTTTATACGATGCACAGTGGGAAAAATAAGGACTGGAAGCGTAGAAATTTTAATTGTATTGATTTTCTATCTGTTATAACTCTTCAACACGTGAGATATTCGATAGATATTTCTTATTTGCAGCGGATCTCCTTCTAGTTTCAAGATAAAACGAAGGCATCCGAAAACTGAATTGAAGTTAACTGGATGAACTTAATAGCAGGAAGCAAAGAATGATACAACAATTCATATCAAAATCAACTCTCATCCTACAAACGAGTCCATTCGATGCTGAATTCTTCTTTCATAAATACGATGGAGTTAACGATCCAATAGAATTGGAAGACGCTAGAGACCTCCATATTTAGATTTGTTTGCCAGTCCACCAATATAAAAATATGTATGTAAACGATGGAAAATGAAATTCGTTCGTTCTTTCCAAAATTAACTCCATCGATCGCAAAGATTCTGATGAAATCACAGTTGACTTTTTTCTTTTAGACCTTGTTTAGTAATCTTCAAAAATCATGCAGTTAACTTGCCGATTTTTCAAAAATCGTCTCCCTGAAACGGACGATTTAGTTATGGTCAACGTCGTTAATATCGAAGAAATGGGTGTTTATGTTCATCTACTTGAATACAACAACATTGAAGGTGAGGATCATCTCTACTCTTATATTAAGAATGAATATCCTTATCGATTTTTTGATAGGTATGATTCTTTTGACTGAATTATCACGTCGTCGTATCCGTTCGATTAATAAACTTATTCGTGTTGGCCGAAACGAAGTCGTCGTTGTTGTTCGTGTCGATCGCGATAAAGGTGAGATTTTGTTTGGATAGCATATTTACATGTATATATATTTAATTTAGGTTATATTGATTTATCCAAACGTCGTGTTTCACCAGAAGATGTCAGCAAATGTGAAGAAAAATTCGTCCGTGGAAAAACCGTATGCATTCATTGTGTTGGAAATTTGATATAGTGGCTTGTTTTCTAGGTTAGCAGTATTCTTCGTCATACAGCAGAAGTCTTAGGCTTAAAAACCAATGAGGAATTCGAAGAATTATATGACAAAACAGCTTGGTACTATGATGAAAAATATAAACGAGCAGGCGCTGCTTATGATGTTTTTGCTCGTGCTGTGAAGTAGGAAATTTGAGGAATGAGTTTACGTTGAGAAAAGAAATTTTGCTTTAGCGATGAACATGAACTTGATGATTGTAAAGTTGACGATGCAACAAAGAAGATTCTTTTGAACAACATTCGTCGACGATTGACTCCTCAAGCCGTAAAATGTCGAGCAGGTAAATGGCAAACAGTTTTGAATTCCTGCTAATTGATCCAATCTGTAATTTTAGATGTTGAAGTTGCTTGTTATGGTTATGAAGGTGTCGATGCTGTTAAAGCCGCATTACGAGAAGGTCTCAACGCATCAACAGAAGAAATGCCTGTCAAAGTAACATTCAAATTTGTTTTTCAAAACAAATGATCTAATATTTGACTGTTAATGATGTTTTTTAGATCAATTTGATTGCCCCACCACTTTATGTCGTAACAGCGACATGTCTTGATCGCAATGAAGGACTTGATGCATTGAAAAATGTTATCGATAAGATCAGATTAGGCATTGAAAAATACCGAGGAATATTTAAGATTAAAATGGAACCAAAAGTCGTCACTGATGTTGACGATATAACATTGAAGGTGAAGTTTTGCGAAAGATATTTTCTCGTTTTGATATCGAAGAATTTGACTTCGTAGGAAGCGATGCAACAAGCTGAAGATGAAAATCGTGAAAGATCCGGTGATGATGATGAAGATTCCGATGAAGATGAAGGTAAGAAAAAACGATACATCGAAGAAGAANGGTGAAGTTTTGCGAAAGATATTTTCTCGTTTTGATATCGAAGAATTTGACTTCATAGGAAGCAATGCAACAAGCTGAAGATGAAAATCGTGAAAGATCCGGTGATGATGATGAAGATTCCGATGAAGATGAAGGTAAGAAAAAACGATACATCGAAGAAGAAATCTTGTTTTTTCGTGTCTAGAAGGTGCAATCAAAGGTAAATTACCAGGTGAAGATGACGACGAAACAGCTGGAGCGTCGACCGAATCAAAACGTCCATCACAAAGTAATAAAAAAGGCGATGACGATGAAGATGGTGATGATAACGAAGATGATGAAGACGAAGATTGATCGCAGTGTTTTTTTTAATTGAAAAAAAAAACAAAGCAAGAAAAAAAAATCATCAAATCTGTTTTTTTCTATGTTATTCTTTCTTTTGAATTCTTTCAAAAAAAAACATTCGATGATACAACTGAAGGTTTATGAACAAGAACTAATGCATTCATATAAGCACATTTTTCTTCATCATCAATCATTGATCGATGGAGAAAAGATTCTAAACGGTAGAAAAAATGCTGTCGGATTGAATTAGTTATTTGCTTGTTTTCGTCACTGATTAGTTCGAGCCATAAAGATTTGTCTTTATCTGATGAGATGAGAATTAGAAGACTAATTTCGATCAGTCGTGCAAGATTTTGAACAGATTGATTCAATGTTGTTAAACGTTGTTCGGTAAGACACGCACGTTGTTCGATAAGATCACATTGGTTGGTACCACGACGAAGGCGTTCCGACAATCGATCAATCCTAATAGAAAATTCGGTCATTGCAGAATGAGATGCACTCTATCTGATCTGAGAAGAATACAATCAATAGCTAGATTGTAATGTTGTTGAGCGATGAGAAAAAAAAGAAGAGAAATAGAAGGAGAAAAAGCGAGAGAAAAAAAATCGATGGACAGCTTGCTATTAATTGTCTCTATTCGGCGAAGTTTTTTTCCTCTTTTTCTGAAAGTAACATCACCATCAGTCAAATTGACATGCAGATTGTATTTGTAGTCGCACACAGGCGAGGAAAATCGAATGAGATCAATAAATAGACGCACCAAGAGACAATCATCGAACAAAGTCAAAGGCATTTTTTTTTCTTTCGTTCGTTCGTCTTATTCATACAGAGAAGTGTAAATGTAAAAATCTCTTATTTCATTGTATATATTCACATTCAGTGAACAATATGAATTCTTCTTACATAAGAAGACATTCAGTGTCCTTGTTCATCTAGGAAGAATCATGAAAGATCAACAGAAATATTTTCTTTTTCGTTTCATCAAAAGATCGATGTTCATCTTAGTGAAATCTAAAACTTCATTCTGAAGTAAAACTGAGTCGAAACCGAACCATAAGGCGAATTTGCTTTGAAAATATTTATTTTTTCTTATTGGATTTCTTTGAAAAACGAATATTTCTCTCCGATACGCCTTTAACGTTAATGAGCGGTTTCAGTCGATGAACTATTTTCACTAAAGTTTCTTGATTCGTCATCACTGTTGTCAAATTCTGAAAGAACAATGTAATTTATCAGTACAATACTATTTTCATTTACTTTGTATGCTTGTGGTGCTTCGTCTCTCAATGCTGCACTCGTATCGCTAACAATTCCTTGCATTGCTTGTTCAAACGACTGCTGAGAGATCTGTTTCATTGCCTTGAAAAAGAAAAACAAGTATTACCGAAAGGAGATAATTATGTTGGACAAAATAACCATTGTTCTTGACATCAACCTTCCAGCACCATGTGAACATGAATGAAACGACAGAGAATTGCCCAATCCTTGGACGATGAAAGAACCAGTTCCCATAGAACCAGGAATAATTCCTAACTGTCCTTTTCGTGCACTCGTCGCACCTTTTCTGGTCACCCAAACGAGCTCTTCTGTTGCACTCTCAGGCCCTTCGAAGGAAATTCTCTCCTGTTGACAATAATTATGATGAATGTTTACCATTCGTTTCAAATCAGCTTCGTAACCAGTGACTAATTTGATAATCGAACAGAGTTCGTCTAGCATTATTCGACGATTTTGTTCTGCATAATTCAAACACCATCGCATGTCGATCAAATAATCTTGACCTTCAGATGAATCGATTTCTAGGTATTTCAATTCATTGATGACAGGTAAACGACGTTGAGACATTTGTTGACCGGCAATACCGTGATAATAATCACATGTTTCTTTCCCGATTCGTCGCGAGCCACTAGAAATATAGTTTTTGTTGTCGAATTCGTCTCAAAACCCCTTTCGTGAATACCTGTGTAGCATGATCCAGACTTGATCATTTTCATCATAGAGTATCTCAAGAAAATGATTTCCCGATCCTAATGTCCCTAACTAAAAAGTAAATTTTTGGTAATCGACTCGGATTTTCCATAACTCACTTGTTTTTTTGTAATATCACAGATTTGATTTCTAAGGTAGTTTGTACATGCGCCTAAATTACTAATAATTCGGTCTGCTTTTTTGTGTGCTTTCGCTCTTGCATCATGTCCTGTTGGTATCGCAGTTTTAATCTTACGTTGAATCTCCTTTTTCCATTTTTCATTCAGTTTAGCTTTCGTTAAACCATCAATCGGTGCAGCAATCATTCCACAACCAATATCAGCGCCAACAGCATACGGACTCACATGAGTTAACGAAGCAAACACAGTTCCAATCGTTGCACCAACACCTGAAATACTCAATTGCCAGAAATCAAACGTATTTACAACGTGATTCGCCTTACCTACATGGACATCAGCCATAGCAGCAACAAAACCTTTGACAATGCCACTTTCAGCTAAGACAGTCAGTTGTTTCAGTGCTTTCGATTCGATTTCACGCGTATAAAGATGAATGGGCACGCCTGATGTTGGAATAATCAGCGGTAACGGTGTTGATGAATCAGCTATGGAACAATGCAAACTATTTTCGTTAGCATCTTCTTCTTTGATCAAGCGTGAAAAATGACGGGAACGAGTTAAACGAAATAATGATCGTTTGATGAGAGTAGACAACATGTTATTCTAGAGTTTAATTTTACAAGAGAGATTTATTAATCATTTGACTGTAAAACAAAAACGAACAACTATTGGATTTATTATAGGTTTGAATGAAAAATAAAATAAATGTGAATTAATTCGAGAATTATTAACTGCTCAATGTTTTTATATATAATTTATATTGACATTTGTTCAAATATCTTCGGAATTTTGTGGCTTAACTTCTTCACATCCTTCAAGTTTTGTTTCTTTTGTTCCGATGAATGATTTATAAAATGAACATTTCCAAGGTTGCCCATTTAAAACAAAAGTACATTTAATATTGAGACCATTGACAATTTGAGTTTGACAAACATTATCCGAAACTAATTTTTCCGCATCAGTCACTTTCTGACCTTGAATTTGTGCCAAAGCTTGACTTAAACAATCTTGTTTGAGTGTTTCGTCAGTAGTAACAGACCATCCACCAAGTAACTGTTCAGCAAAACAAGAATTCAAAGTGAAAATAACAACAATAATTATCATCGACTTCATTTTATCTAGAAAAGAAAATTTCTAGCATTTCAAACAAAATCTATTTATAACACAAATTGAACCAGATAGAGCACTCTTATCTCATATTGATATACAATGAGCGACTTAAGTTCTATGGTAATATATTGGATTATTTCCCTTGATCATGTGATCATCACAATTCGCTACCATAGAATTTTTCTTTTTCTTCAAAGTAAAATCAACAAACGCAATACAATCAATTGATACCGCTTACTTGATAAGAACACAAATTTATTAAATGAAGTAAATATTTCTTTTTAGGCATTCATTTTTGCTCTTTCGTTTACTCAAACATCATGTCTCCGATTGGTTATTATATAATCGAATAGTGCAATCACATAGATATCGTTCGTTTCTGCACATCGCAGAATAGCGCATTTCTGACTGAAACATATCAGTTTCTGAACAACTGACAACACTACGATGTAGCAATAGTCTGATAAATATTATCTATATCTTTGCGTCTTAAATTTGCAATTCAATAAACTCTGAGACTATTTTATTTGTACCAGAAAGCCTGTCTCTTACGAGAAAGCTTTTTACCAATGTCATAGAATGTGGTATGAAATCCAGTCCTGAATATTAATCATATTGACTTAATTTTGTTGAAAAATACATTGCATTTAGTACGTCGAGTGTACAAATTATGTACACGTAGTGTTGATGAGTATGGATCGGGATTTGCATCTTGTAAAATTGTTTCAGTCGCTTATGAAGAAAATAAGTCTCATGGAAAGGCGATATGCATGCCGTTTCATAATAGGACTTATCGTTGAAAGATAATAAACCTGAGAATTTTTTAAATCGTACTATTGCATCTCTTCAGATCAGTCAAAGCTGGTTCGTTTGATGTCGCAACTATTGACTTGACAATTTCATCATCTGATATTAATGCCGAAATGAGTTTTCTTGAAAGTAAACATTGCTCGACAGGGCATTGAACAATATTATACAGATTCCAAAGTGTAAACTGAAAGTGAAAATGTCAGTAAAACATCTGCAATATGTTTATTATTTATCCGAAGTCGCCGATTTTATTATGTTGAGTTGGAATTGACTACTTGCAGAGGTATCCGTTCACACTGTATTGACCAGCGATACCTGACATAACGGTGCAGCACCGTATAGAACGCAGTAGTATTGCTATTTGTTACTGAAAATATATTCTTTAGATTCAATGTTTTGATCTCTGTAATTCGTCAGATGAATTAAAACGAAATAGTTGAATGTAGTTTAAACGATCCTCCACATTTATCTATTTTAAAACTCATTGCAAATAGTAAAATAAATAAATTTTATTGCAATATTATACTCAGTAGATTGTGCACGTGAGAAATTCATGTGCATTTAAAGGAAAAATTGTCTCTTAGAGGACAGAAAAAAGGAAACTTCATGAAGATAAAAGAAGAAATTCGAATTGAATTATAAATTATTTCATGATGACACATTTGTCATTAAGTTTCCCATAGCTTTTTGACCAAATGCTGGTATAGTAATTGCTACTAAGATATATACAAGTTGTTCAATAAATTCATACCAAACACTCGAATCAGTCCACAATTGTACCATATTATATATGATTTGTTTAGCATCATCAATGCTCATGTTACCTCGAAGCACATCTTTAGAAAAGAATGAGAAATCGATTTTCATCAAGAAACATCTTACTGGTGATAAGACCGACAGCCATAACAGGTACAGCTGCTTTAGATATATGACTGTTACCTCCCGTTTTGAATGAGATCAACAGTGGATACAATTGAACGGACAATTTTTGAATTTGATCAATCAAAGCCTAAATAACAAAAGAAACTGAACAAGTTAATTCACTCATCCCATTACTTGATTTTTCGTTTGACAATTGTCATATCGAGTTTTTATGGTTGTGAACATTCCAATGGCTCTTTTCCTGTAAAATTAGACATTAGTTTAGCTAGTTATCCTGATTGATGTTATTTACAAAGTATTCGTTTCTTCAACTGGTTGCAATGCTTTTGTCATGGCTGTATGAGTTTGCTGCAGTTGGTCATCTGTTGCTCTAACGTAAGAGAAAATTAGGACGATGGCTTCATTTTAATAGTAGATCAGTCTTGAAACTAACTGAATAGTCTTTTCATTGATTTGATTTTCTGCTAAAACAATTTCTTCAATTTGTAATACCAAAGCCATTTCAGCATCATCATCCGTTTGCGCACAAATCTGGTTTACCTCTGAAGACGATCGATCCTGTGCGTTTATTTCAGTCGCTGGAATGTCTTGCGCGTCATTTTGTTTGAATTTTTTTGATGTAGGCGATGGTGATCTCGATCGTTTGACACAATGGATTTGAAAACTATTTATCGAAGATAAAACCTCGAAAATTTCTTAAAATAAACAAACTTGTATTCATCTTGTAAAACTCGAGCGATTTCCTCGTCATTCTGTGTTTCAACCAGCTCCATCGATCGATTCATAGGTTATTTCTTTCGAAAATGTCTGTCTTTCTTTTCTACAGATGATCGCTTGTTTTTAAGTAGGTCTTAAACAAATATAGGAGGAGAAAAATCTCAAGTGGGAAAAAAATAAAAGTCTTGTTGTTCGTTTCTTCTACTGAATTCAATTCGCTGCAATCATTATTGAAAAATAACTCGTCGTCGTCAATGTGTGTCATCTGTCGATGAGACCGATTAAATTCTTTCTTCGCATAAAAAAAAACACAGCACAGATATAAATACAAACGAACATATAATCACAGGGTTAAAAGAAAAAGGCAAACAAAATGATTTTAGATTGGCGATGATTCTTCAATAAATTTCAAATGAGTATTCGAATCATCACTATTATTATCCATTCTTGTCATTAACATCGGGTGAAGTTCAAAAANTATAAGATTACAAAGTTTATCCGATATGAGATCCTTCATTAACATTATAAAAAAATGGTGACTCGCATTTCTAACCTATGAGTTGAATGTTTGATTCAATGAGAAATAAAAAAAACATCATGACATTTGTTCAGCATCTGTTTTATTGACTAGTAGACCATTTAGTGTGAAGATTGACATGTCGGTTATATATTTTCTGATGTTCTAATCATTTCAAATGAAATAATCCGATTAGTAATGATGGAATATAAACTAGAAAGTCAAATTTGAATAAACCTTCTCTAGTGTTACTTTCGAACATCTCACACCATTGATCTCAAAGCGGAAGCAGACTTTAACCTCGAAGTTGCCATATACAATCACTCTACAGACACAGCTAATTCTGATTCTAATTGTCGCGTGTCCGGATATCTGTCTGTCTTCTCTTTTTGATGATGATGTCGGCCATATTCGACTGGTGTATACTGACAAATTCAAGATGACTTGATATCATGTTCTTGAATAGCGACCAAAGCAAACAAACAAGGCAAATGCCATGATGATCACACGCATTGATCGATGCAGACAGGAACGATTAAAACAGACAATGCTAATTGAACATTTATCATGATTGACGAGTAATGAAAAAGAAGACGATGGACGAAGCCTTGACGAGAAATATGGAGGATAGGTACCTTGTTGAGAAGAAATGCTCGTAATGGGTATACATACAGATGAGACTAAGAAGTGCAGACACAAGTGTTTGCCCCCCGGCGAGTGGAATGAACAGAAAATATGATTAAGCATTTTTCGTTGTATGACAACAGTCTTTCTAATCAACGAGACAACTAATTCAATCGAATAGATGCCTAAGCAATTGAGTTCATTAAATGGTAGCAGGTGTCATTTTATTTTCTTGCTTATAGAAATGACGCGAAATGAAACGAAACTTACCCATCCTTGCATATTAGTATTTTCAACGAAGAACAAATTAACTTCTTCTAGTTTTACATATATACAAATGAATGTTCACACTCTGGAAATGCTTATTCGAATGATAAACGATGTTTGCTTGCTCTCAACGAACTGAAGAGAAAGAGAAAAAAATCGAACATAATGGATCGTATCTCTTATCAGAAAGAAAGAGCAGAGAAAGAGAGAGAGAGAGAGAAAAGAAAAAAGTCGAAATTCCCTTCTTCTTCTTCTTTTTTATTACTACATATCTATCGATGAATAGAGACATATGTATAGTACAAATTCGTTTATGACTCGAGCTCATATATCTAATATGTATGAGTGCCTTTTGAACTTTTATATTTCTAAATGTGCTGTAGGAATATATACAGAAGCTGAACAAATGTCATGATGTTTTTTTTTATTTCTCATTGAATCAAACATTCAACTCATAGGTTAGAAATGCGAGTCACCATTTTTTTATAATGTTAATGAAGAATCTCATATCGGATAAACTTTGTAATCTTATAGACAAGTCAATCTGCGGCACTCGGTGTATTTTGACTGAATGAAACCAATCAAGATAATTCTATTGATTGCTCTTGGACAGATCATGCAAATACTTAATTGAACAATGTTGTCTCATTCTTTTTGTTCTTGTCAATGGAACTTCAATTCACAGATGGCTCGTGTCTGATTCAAGTATCATCTCGAAAAACAAATATGCTTGCAGCTCGACATGTTCGGTGTTTTTTTCACACTCAAATGCGGCTCTTCCGATGTCGCATAACATAAAAAAATCATCGTGTATTCATCGTCGGATTAGATGATGCATGATAATCAGTTTGTTGACATTTATAATTAACATCCATTTTATGTAATATACGAAAAACCTTGGATAATAGTGGAGATTCTCTACGTCGAGATTGATGAAATGAAAACGATTGTATTTTCGAGAAGATGTTTATCCGTTATTTAACATTGAAGTGGGTTACATGAGTTTTTATAATTAATCTCGTTTAAGTGTTCGATTTCACGTATGAAATAATGCATCGAAATCAGTAAACATCAGTATTCATTGCGAAACTATTTCTAAACTTGATCACGTCGTTTCGACATACCCGTTTTGTATGTTTGTTGAACTTTTGTATATGTACACAAATACCCACGAAGCTCTATGAATGGACGCACATATTGTTCACTTGTATCACATTGAGGTATTTCAAAACATCAAATATTGTCCTTCATGCACTGAGAAATCTTTTTTTTATTATTATTGTTCTTGTTAATCCTTGGTTTTTGAACATAACTGACAGAATGCCTCATACATGCACATATCCACGCACGATTATCAAGAAAGACAAAAAAGTAACAATGTGACAGTAGGCAACAGAGAATGAAAGCAACTGAGATGATAATAATGACACCAGATCTTAAACATCAACCATTTCCCATAGACCATAAGTACTGCCAACTGTATTTTGCCATAACCGTAATGTTCCATCTTCACTTCCTGACGCATAAACTTCTCCATCCGGTGAATATGACATGCAATGAATGGGACCAAAATGACCTTTGTATGATTCTGAAAACAAGGACATTTTTACGGTTTTCTTTGATTCAGTGGCATTTTGTTCAATTTCTTACCCAGTTCTACACCTGTTTCGAAATTGTATTTGTATATACGGAAATCTAGACCACCACAAACGAATTCTCTTGCAGTTGGATGAAATGTAGCTGTGTTCATTTCACATGGCATTTCAAATGATTGTAGTTTATTTAAACTAGATTAAATTGGAACTGTGTATGTGATAAATCCACATAAATAATACATACGTATTCCCATCGTAGATTTCTACTTTTTTTCCATAAGTGATCAGCAATGATGCTTGATTATCGCGTGATATTTCAATACTATTAGGTGGCGAAGGCAAATCAATCGTTGATACGCAATTTCCTGAGTCAATATCAAAGATTCTTAAATCAAAAAATGTGTTACAAGAGACAAAAGATTTGAAATTCAAATACTTACTTTATAGTCTTGTCATCAGATGCTGTGCAAATGCGTTTGGCATCCATAAAGATGGCCTTTTTTACGGCACCTGTATGACCATTAAAGACTTTCACCGGTTCTACAAAATATTTGTTGATCGTTCAATCGGACAGATAGTAAATACGAAAGATTTTACCTGCGGGTGCAGTTACATCATAAATCTTGATCACTTTTTCGTTCGATCCAGTTAATAACCATTCCTTATTTATTGTTGAGAAATCTACCGAACGAACGATGTGTTTATGTTCGAATGTTTGTAGTTCTGCGCCTGTATTCGCATCCCACAATTTAGCGGTGAAATCTGAACCAGCTGTTGCAGCTAATTCAGCATTTCCTGATATTGTTGCTCCCCATACTGCTCCTTTATGACCAATAAAACTACCAATCCTAAAGTACAGACCAATAAAACTCTGTTTCATAAGCTGATTTCAAATTCGTACCAATCGCCAGTATCACCTTCGCGTAACATGGGTATTCCGTCTAGAAAGTGAACGAAATTATAATCTATACGAATGTACAAGAGATGATCTACCTTTACAAGCACTTATCAAGAAGTAACTATATTTAGTCACATCACTAAAGCGGAGATCGACCACTAGAATAAAAAGATTTTCCTAAAAATGTGCGAAACATTAACTTTGCTTAACAAACCTGGTCGTGTATGACCATTGCATGTAATGGGCACTTGCCGAAGAGTTGTTGTTGACATGATTAGAGTAAAAATATATAGGACGAATTAAAATAATTGCTGTTCTGTGTGTTCAGATGTTTTGTAGAGAAATAAATAAGATAATGAATATGTACAATGGGACAAAGAAAGAAATTTAACGTTTGAAAAGAACTAGAAGCATAAAGTTGATTTTGTTACTCTAGAAGTAAAGAAAAGAAGTTGTTAATTTCTCCTCAATAACGTTTCTGTTCTCGTTTTATTTACATTGATGATCATATAAATAATTTAAGAAGAAAGAAAATAAATAAACAAACACCTTGAAACTAAATAGCACGTGTCTGTCTGTTCCATACAAAACAAACTTAAGAAGAATAAGAAAGACATGCATTGAAGAAATCGTCTTCGTCCTTTTGTTTGTTTGATTTACTATTACAGGTAACAAACAAAAACTAAAATATTTGGAGAATTTCGATTGACGCTCATGTGTCGAGCAGATTTGATGATGGAAAACCAGCCCCTTATACATATATATATATCTCAAAAACATGGAAAGACATCAGGTATGCGATGAATATATGTACAGATAAAATTTAATTCTTTCCAGTATAAGATTTCAGAGTTTTTCTCAGTAATGGTGGTACGACTGGTTCTGAAATGACAAGAAAATGAAATCGAAGGTTTTTTGTTGTATGAAAAGAAAAAGAGAAATTTGATATCTACTTTTAGGTTTTGCTTGACCCCGGCCGAGTTTCGTTGGTGGAAGACCGACAACTGGTCTAAAGGTTTTCTTCACAGTACCAGTGGTTGTGTGACGGTTCACCGTCGGAGCTGTGGGAAGTGACTTTGTTTGGCGACCTGAATAGAAACTTAAGATGAAAAAAGAAGTCCGCTACTTTTTATCAAATACCTATATCAGTTGTTTGTGCCTTTTTCTTTTTAGCGAGTTCTGTTATTTTTTGTAAACGTGCTTCATTTTCCTGAAATTTACGCTACAAAACAAGATGGAAATCAATGAATGTTTTCAAAGAAAGAATTATCTATTTTCCGTACCCAATAGAGTTCAAAATAAGTTTCATTTTCGTCTAACTCAGCGTCCTTATAATGTATCGAACAAAATTTTTGCCATAACGGTTGTACATCATCATAATAATCCTAGAAACAAACCAAACAAAACCATCATTCGCTTCATAGATAAGAACTTTTCACATACAGGATTATTATCAATGATGCGATACAATTGATCAGGTGTAGCAACGTCGAGTATTGGTTTGACTATTTCATATGGAAGTCGGTTGAAATGCCAGCGAGAAGAGTCTGTACAAATGGAGAGAATGTGTATTTTTAGAAAAGTATCAAAACGGATTACCTTCGATATTATCTTTGAGAACATCGACGCAGAGATCTTGAAGTGATGGGATACTAGTACGACACGCACGTTTACCGGAATAGATCGCTTGACGTCCTTGTCTTGGACGAAGAAAATTAAAACTTTCTATAAAAATTGATGGTGGGTCGATTGTCACACTCAAATGAAAAAGATTTACCTGATTTTTTTCCATTAGCTGCTGAGAGTTGAGGTTGCGGTGGACGGGATATTGGTTGAGAATGATCGAGAGAGGCAATGCTTGATGCGATTGCTGCAATCGTAGCACGTTCCTCTTTCTTTGTTACTGTTGCAACTGTCGATGATGTTGGTTTCTTCACCTGAAATATCGATGGTCCGACTCGAAGTTATACGTAAATAACGCAATATACTTGTTGACTTTTTTTATCCACTGTTGCTTTGTTTAGCACAGGCAAAGGTGGCTTTTTATTTTTCTCAGCATCATCATCATCGTCATCATCATCTTCCGCCCAAATATCATTTTGTTTTGTTGTATTTTGAGTATTATTGGTAATTGTCTTCGAACGATAACCATTTGCACCACCATGATTGTAATCATTATCTTTCGTCAAGATTTTACTCACATCATTTGGAAGTTTCGGCGCATTTGCTGCTAATTTAATACCATTAGCATCGAATTTCGCATAGATTTCTTGAATTTGCGTATCGGTGAATATATCTTGAGCACGATTTACAGCTGCTGAGACGGGCTTTTTACTTGCCGTATATTCAGCTAAGGAAAGAACTTTCCGCTTTTTAATCGGTGATGATTGATCACGAGTATTTGGTTTTCCATCATCAGATGAATGAGATTCACTGAAAAGATCAAATGTGTTGAAATTCGATGATCAATGAGAGAAAAATTTCATTCGAACCTTAACGAGCTCGAACGAGGTTTATCATAATCATCCTCATCGGAACACTTTCGTTTCAGGGAAGATTTCTTTTCTAAAGCAACTTTTGTCGTGTTTGTAATCGTCTTAACTTTGGTGGAATTGTTTGATTTCGAAGTTTTGTTGTTTCCATTATGCCATTTATCTAAAAGACCCTTGGCCGTTGTGTAATATGAAGTTTTTGTATCCGATACAAGTTGCTTGACGAGCACATCAATCTTCGTTTCCTATGAGTTAAAAACTCCACTAGTGAACTTGTTCAACACTTAAGCAGAGACATACGCGAAGTAATGCCGGAGTCATTGAAGTATGATGTAACTTTTGAAGGTACTCTTTAACCTAGAAGGAACATCTATTGATTTGAAACGAAAAGCCAGCCTAAACTTACTTTATCATTATCTTTTGATTGAATATATTTGTTCAGTTTGTTTTTCACTGATTCAATCATAGTGATGGCTGTTCCACTACTCATATTTACTGTTTAATCTAAGATTATGTTCGAAAAAAGTGCAAAGATAGTGTTTCTTCTGTAGGCTGCGCTTGAAAAAAGCTCTATCTTGCTGGGGAAATTTCACGAAACTATTATGCGATTTTTCCCTTTGGTCATCTTATTGGAATAAATAAGTAAATAAATAAATAGACGAACGATGGAGGGAGGTTGGTTGTGAAAATATGCAGCGGTAAAAGTATAAAATAAGATTAGTTGGTGAGAGAACAAATCATCGAATAGGAAATTAGAAAGAAATATACACAGCTGACGACGATGATGTCGTTACTTGTTGACGAAAAATATGTCAAGGAGAGATTCTTTTACACAATTTTACATACGAAAGACTAAATGGGAAGTAGAACTCCAAAATTCATATTGTAGAAGATCGAATAGTCAGTAAAATGAACTGAGAGATTCTTACTTTTTCTAGTAGTTTCTCGACGACATATATTCGACACCATCATAGTGTAAAACAATCGTTTAAATCTGTATTTTCTGTTTTGAAGTAACAATAAAATAAAATCTAAGCTCAACCGATTCTATTGACCTACACAATAGTTATAAGAGCAATATGATATGATTAGGACGCTTTGCTCTCTCTATATATATACTCGGGAGTGTAACATGGTTGCTTGGTATTGGGATCCAATCATAGACAAGAACGACAGTAACGAAAAGAAAGAAGACTGGGAGGGGGGGGGGTTAACTCGATCTCCCATTCTATGTTGCGATACATTTTCGTTTATACAGGGGCCCAGAAACATTCAGAGTAATACAAAACATGCAAAATTGATCGATAACTAAGATATTAATTCAATAGGAACAAGTAAAACCTTGCCGATGTTGTTAAATACTATTTGATGAAGAGTCTATGCAGACAGTATTAGCATATAGACAATAAACACAATATATTCTACAATAGAAAAAAAAACAACCTCCATCCAAGCGCACCCTTTTCTCATTTAATATTTTTCTTTTAAAGGTAAGACACACATTCACGTGGTATTTCATGTATGAGAATACTATCAAGAATCGGCAACATTTTTACTATTCCTTCCAAATGTTGTTCTTTAATGACTACTTTAGATGATGCGTCAAAATGTAGTTTGTTTTATTGAACAAGAGCAAATATGACTTCTTTTTCCTCTTTCATTAAAGATTTTTCCCTTCGAAGATCGGAGTTTAATCATGCCGTTCATCGTAGCTGGTATTGAAATGGGCGGCACCGGATGTAAAGTTGCTATTAGTGATGGCAATGGACAATATGACACCAGTTATTCATTACAAGTTGTTACGATCGATCCAACAAATACTCTTCGTCAAATATATGAATGGTTAGAAACAAAACGAACAGAAAGACCGTTTGTTGCGATAGGCATTGCTTGTTTTGGACCAGTTGACTTAGATAAAACAAGTAAAACCTATGGATACATTACAACCACACCAAAACCGGGATGGCAATATGTTGATGTCGTCGGCGCTTTCAAAGGTTTGAATGTACCTGTTGCATTTGAAACAGATGTCAATGCACCAGCAATGACTGAAGCTGCACTTCGTGGTGATTCATCAGCGGCATACATTACAGTTGGAACAGGTTAGTTCGCCGAAATTCATGTTCATCCGGTATAATTTAACTTCATTTCTGTACTTGTAGGAGTCGGTGTCGGTCTCGTTCTCGAAAATATTCCTGTACATGGTTTAATGCATCCGGAAGGTGCACATATCAAGTGTGAGCGCATAGCTGGTGATGACTATCCAGGCGATTGCCCATATCATGGTTCATGTATTGAAGGCATGTGCAAAGCGAAAGCAGTTGCTGATCGACTTCAAATCGTACCTAATCTGCTCAGTACCGTTCCTGATGATCATCCCGTATGGAATATTCAAGCATACTACATCGCACAGTTATGTGCGTGCGTCATTTATTTAACATCCGTTAAACGTATTATTATCGGTGGTGGTTTACTGAAACGAAATGGTTTGCTCGAACACGTGCGTAAACATGTTTTAAAGATTATCAACGATTATTTGGATATACCAGCAATCACACAACACATTGATGATTATATTGTTCCATCGAAACTTGGTGACATCATTGGCATTCAATCTGCTTTTGATCTTGCTCAACGAGTCGCTGGAGACAAATGAACGTTTGGCTTAAGCATTTGATTTATAATAAGCAGTCTTTTATAAAGATGTATCGTAGTTTTGAATAAATATGTGAAAAACGTCGATGATTTAGTAGTGACATCAGTCTTCACACAAAAATAGATATTTATTCAAAAACAAAGGTTAGATAGATAAATTCAACTGATCAAATAATTCTTTGACAGTTACATATTCTTTCGATGTTGGTTGAATGAGAGTTGTTTGGGCATTTGATCCGCTGCGTCTTGATCGCCGATTTGAAAACCACACCCGAACTTGTTCAACATCGATATGAAGATGCTCTGCTATGACACGTCGTTGTTCCAATGATGGATATGGTAGTTTCAGAAAAATACGATGAAGTGTGAACAATTGCACTGGTGTATATCGATGTCGTGGTGGAAGAACTGGTTTAACTGGTGATTTCTTAAGAAAAATAAAGGTAAATAACTGATATTTTACAAAAATATGGGAAATCTTACTGGTGGTGGTGATAACGAGGAAGACGATGAATTGATTGAGCAGTCAGGTGGTGGTGGTACAACGAGAAATGGATCGTAGAAAAAAATTGCCAGTGGTAGCGGTGGTGGTGGTTCGATTGTTGATGTCAGAAAACGAATAACGAATGGATCGATCATGCGAGGAGATGGTTCGTATGTTGAATTCATGTTTGAAGATACTTTCAATTCAATCATTCTTTCTCATTTATACTGTTCTTTTAGTTTCAAAATTCAGATCAGTTTGGGAATGATACACATCAATTAATCAATACAGAGGTATCCCATCAACGTTGATTCTTAATTGATCTGATTATTCTGCTAGGGAAGAATGTATCTAATTGATACGACGTTGTCCTAATTACAATTGTCGATAGAGAAGAGAGAATGAACAATCTTCGATGATATCTGACAAATTTTATTGAAAAAGATAAGTTTTATATGAATAGTCGATAGAAGGAATATACAAAGAGAAAGAAAAGGATTTATTCCAGATTATCGTGGTGTTGCACCGGTGCCAACTCCATCGAGAAAGGAGAAAACGGATTGAGTTGGTGGTGGGAGTATCGGTGCACTAATTGACTCTCGATTGGTCGTATTTGGTTTTTGGTTTTTGCGTTCTTGGATCGCAGCATTGAGATCTTCGATTTCATCGACTTTGATGTCAATTTCTAAAGCAAATTAAGGATATAGTTGCTGCTTCTCATAAGCGAAAGTTACTTGTTAATGGACGACGAAGCATTGTCAAAATAAGAATAGTAGAAAATCTACAAAAGGCGAATATTATATGCAAAACGTAGAACTAAACACGAAATGGAAAATTATTTTTTATTCATTAATGACATATACAATTTTCTTTCAATCTCAGCAGGATCTGTTGTAGGTTTTGGAAGAGATGCTGCAAGTTCACCGACGAGTGTTATAGGTTGCTGGAAGAAATAAATTATGTTAAAAGAAAATGATGAGACAAATGTATTCATCTTTACCCATCGTATTTGGTGGTCGTGCAAACGTTGGTAAAATTTATTTTGTCGTATTTTGTACAATGCAGATGAACAATACAATTCTTCTCGATCGACTTTTTCCGTTTTTTGAAGAGACGAAAAATCATCATCGATTTTATCACGTAAATACTAAAAATTAGGCTGAGAATCATAAAACGATCTTTTGGATTAGCATAATTAACCTGTAATTGATCATTCACTGCATTAGCATCTTTTAAGCGAGTGACCCATTTTGATGGAACAAGTACTTCGTCAGTTCGTGCATGAAAATCATACCATTCTTGTGGTCTAGGAGATAATCAAATCAAAACATTTATCAAGGATATTGATATCAAACCTTTCGGAACGATCTGCTGATTCTTGTCGATTTCTTTCTAATCTTTTTAAACAATTTTCAATAAACAGCTGTTCGTTCTTATTCTTCTAAATCCAACAGATTTTATTTTTTTTGGTTTTCAAAAACAAACAAAACATTTAATCACCATGCGTTGCTTCGACATTTAGTTCATCTAAAAATAACAGTCGAAAGCTATAGAAAAGAGACAAAACGTTTTCTCTTTAGATCTAACATGCATTTCTGGGTTCATATAGAACTATCAAAACACACAAACAAATGTGAGTTAGGAAAGGACAAAAAAAGGGGAAGAACAATTGAATTATTAGATTTAGGATGCTCTTAATGGTTCTCTTTTATTGTCGAGTTCACGTTTTGCTGTTTTAATCAATTCATCACGTGTTTTTGCTTCGGCTGTATCGTAGCTATCCCGCACCGTCCAGCGCCACCATGCTGCACGTGTACGATCCCATACTGCACTGAAGGAATCAAACGCCGGTCGAACATCCAATAATGTAAATGTTAATGAATCATGATCAAGTTTCTCCGAATCATAATAATCGATAATATCTATTTCCGAAAAAGAATCGTAACATGTTTCTAACGATTGAACTCTACTTACATCGCACACGTTTTCCACATCGATCGACGATCCAATCATGTCGATCGAATGGTAATTGATAGCCCATCCAACTTCGGATTCGTGCACGCGGCGAAAAATCTTTTGCTTTGCCACCGAATGAGGCCAAACGAGGAGTCATACATTCATTTGCATGTAACGCTTCCCATTTTAATACTTCCATCCAAGCAAGTTCATTATTGATGTTATGCATTCGAACAATATTCTCCATATCAGCCGCCGCGAGAGCATCATCTTGCCAACGCCAACCTTTTCGTAACATTGCATTCCAAAACATTTGTGGTGATGGATAAACCTAGAAGAATCGATTGGCTTTTTAAAAGATACGATGAATCGTTTCACATACCCAATTTTCATCTTTATCAGATACTTTTGGGATGTTCGAAGTCACTCGGTTAGTTGAGAGCGGAAACGGTTGATCAGGTGCAGGCATTTGATTGGCTGGTGGCATCATGTTTAAAGGGTTGACATCATTATTATTTCCTGTTGATCCTGACATGGGACATTCGCTTGGATACGTTTTTTGTTCAGTTGCCGATTGTTTTTGGTGTTGTTGAAAATGAGGACATTGATCAATTGAGTCTTTAACTCCCGCATGTTGAGCATCTGTCGGAGGTTTGATCTTATCGTTAAAGCCAGAATTTGAAGCAGTTGATGACGATTGTGCACCCATTGATACAGAGAAAGTTATATAACTAAACTTCTTTCCATTTCTAGTCAAGGATGGATGGATGATGTAGTCGCAATCCTATTGGTTGGATATATACACCAATGGCATTTGCTTCTTTCTTGTATTAGAGAAAGGAAGCCTCTCTATTACTATAGTTATGTGTTTTAGTAATGGAGATCGTTGTACAGTTGCGGTTTGGTTCAGTCATTTGAAAAAAAAATGAAGAAACACCAGAGTCAAAAAATGGCACAATTGGAAACATTACTCGATTCAAGTGATGAGGATCTGGATGCAACATCGACGTCGGCTACCAGTAATGATACCGATCAATCTTCGAAAATCACACATTTAATGCGTGAGAATGAACGAAAAATTCGCAGTTTAAGCGAAAGTTACATGAATCGATTTCTTTTCATTGGCCAACAATTACAATCACTACCTCAATTAGCACACAATGCTCCAAATGCATCAACAATTCGACCCATGGAGCAAATCGCTCAACCGGCATCACCAACATTGACCGCTTTTATCGAGGCGTTGAAGCAACTGATTGTCAAAGAAGAAAGAAAACGAGGTACGACTTTCTTTTGCATCACCACAGATCAACGTTCGTGAAACTTTTAGAAAAATGTTATCTACCATCCTATGATGATAATAGTAATTCAAATGATGTGTACACCCGATTATCCAACGGAATCACCCAATGTTTACATGATTATGAAGCAGAATTGAATCATGCCAAACGGCGAATCAACGATGTAAGAAAATTATCTGTCATTATCTTTTATTTCTTAATTTCTTTTAACGAATTCAGTTAAACAAACAACAGGAACATATTTTAAACGAAAACAAACATGTTGTTTCACAATTAACCGACGCTTTTGAACAAAAGTAAATTCTTCCTTCAGAAAAATGATCTTCACATATTTTTCTCTCTCGTTCATTCCAGCACGATAACCCTTCGTCAGACGTATGAAAAGCATTTAGCTAAACAACGCGATGAATCATTACAAATCGCACAAGCACTTGACAAGTACAAAGTTGAAATCTTAACTCTACGGTAGATTTCTTTGAAAATATTTTCCTAAAACGAACTTATGTGTGTTTTCGTAGAGATTCATATGAGAAAAAACTTCGAGTTAAAGACGAATTAGTCAATGACCTGAACGAAAAATTAGTCAAGAGTGAAGCAGAACAAGCGGCACGACATCATGCATTGCATTTAAAGGTAATCCTTAAGAAGAGATTTTGCATCGAAACAAATCTTTGTGTAAAATAGATTGAACAATTTCAACAAAGTTTTGAAACTTTACAAGCTCGTAATAAGCAAATTGAACATAATAATCAAATAAAAACCAAAGAAAATTGCGATCTTCTCGCTCAAATATCTAATTTACAAGTAAATGTTATTGAAAATTCCCTTTCTTCTTTTGAAAGAATCAATTTTCAGATTCAAATTCAACGTTTGCAACAAACCGTCACATCGAAAGCGAATGAATGCAGTGAACTATCTCAGAAACTAGCATCACTATTGCCAAAAGCATCCGAATGTGAACGTTACGAATCTGAACTGAAACAATGGTTTTTCTTAATTTCACCCGAAAATAATTCATCCGATGTAAGAGTCAGTCTCCCACTAGACTCTTTCTTTATCGCTCTTTCACTTTTAGTTAACGTTGGATTCCATGGCCACAATTGTCGTGTCAAAAGTTTCGCATTTCGAAAAATACAAACGACAACTCGATGCCATTGAAGAAGAACTCAACACTGCACATATTTGCGAAGGTCATCATTTATCCGATCGTATTCGACATGTAATCACCCATAACGAACAAATCGAGACCGCTCATCATGATCTTAATAATAAATATCAAGCATTACTATTGCAAGTGAATATGTTAACTGGAATTATTAAACAACATTCGACTGAAGTGGCCAATCACAAGGCAAATGAAACACAATTAAAAGAATTTAATGAACAATTATTGAATGAAAATCAGAAAATTAAATTGGAAGTTCAAGAATATCGTGCGAAATTTCTTCAAATAACAAATACAAATAATCAATTGGAACACGAAGCGAATTTGAATAAACAGCAAGCGAGAGACATACAAATCCAATACGAAACATTCAAAACAGAACATCAAATGTTAAACAATGTAAACACATCTATTCATTTTTCATAATCATCCGAGTTCTTCTTTTGTTTGTTAGGAACTGCAAACAAAACGCGAGGCTGTGAAACGTTACGAACAAGAATTACATTCGATGAAACATTTATTCGACATGACTCTCAAAGAAAAACAATTACAAAGTGATCAATTACAGCATGAAAGGCATTGTAAGATAGTTTCTTCTTCTTTTCGCAAATCTCATTCGAGTGTTTGAAGTATTCCAAACGGAAAATGATTCACTCAAACAATTAGTTCTTCGCGATGGTCAAGAGAAACAACCAACGCAACTAAAAACATTACAATACCTCACAACAAAATACGTGGTAAACATCTATTTGATCTTAACTCATCTCTTTACGTTCGATTTCATTTTAGGAAAAAGATACAATCAATGATGAACTTCATCGTATATCAAATGGTTATTCTCATACTCACAATCATCAATATCTCCCATTGAACGATCATATTGTAAACTTTGTGTCGACATTTGAATGGATTCAAATGATTTTTTTTTCTTCATAGGATAATGATGTTAGTGAAGGTGTCATATCCCGTCGAGCAACATCAACACCGACATACAGCGAGACGGAAATTTGTCAAATTCAACCCTTGGGTATTACGAAACAGATTAATCAAGTTTTGAGCGATATGAAAAGTTTGTTAACATACAGTCGAGAGACGATTGTTAAACATGACGACGGTGTTGTCGTTCCCGAACGTGATTTTAAAGTACGAAAACGAAATAAATCTCGACAAGTTAAACGAGAACGTTCAACAGTTATAGGAATCGAACAGCTTTAGGTCAGATGATTGATTGATTGATTATTCCGAAATTTAGTATTCTTAGTACATTTTCATGATTCATTTTCGTTTTCTTTGCAAATCTGCATAGTTGTATAAGATATCTTTATTTGAAAATATTCAATAAAGTGACGATATTTGTTGTGATCATTGTTACACAGAACACACAAGTTGACCTGGCTGACAAGCACGATGAAAATAAACTTGATGCACAAGATTTTCAAGGTAATGGAGAAGAGGATTTATTTTTATAGTGAATTTCAATGTAACTATATAAACACGGGCAAGAAATCAGTTCGAAAGTAATGTGTATTTGTTCTTGACCAGAACATTTCTCCGAGCAACATTCAATTTGTTTGAAAAGCGTTACTTGGACTGGATAGATCGCTACAAAAGAAACATTTTTGGTATCTGAAAATGTCGTCACTCGTTCATTTACATGACAAAAATTTAACTAGAATAAACTGGAGTAATTCTTTTCTTGAAATAAACCAGGAACGATATTTCTATTAATAGAAAACACTTATTTGATTATTACTGTTCTTCCCACGCGACTTTGCCTAATAGGTAATTAGCAAATATTTTCAGTCTCGCAAATAACCGCTTATTCGTTGCATCTACAAAAGAAATCTTTCAGCCAATCAATTGAGAATTTAAAATACACAAGAATCAGTCAAAATATTCTGCTAAACAAACGGTTTTTGTTTTGCACAAGAACAATATTTGTCTACACCATTATTTTCAAGCTTTCGTATACCGACTGAATTTTAAAGGTACAAAAGCGCACATTACAATCCACTCTGTGTTGATCGTCTCGTTCCATGAGAGTAGGTAAACAACAAATATCAAACTACTTACCTCGTTATTTCCAAATCCATCACACATGAAGTTATAATCAATGAATTTCACTCGGCTTTATCGTCGGAGTAGACGAGTGCTATGGTTCTTGTTTTTTACCTACGTGTTGTTCTGGTTAACACTAAGCACAATCAAACAAATCAATGAGTTGAATAAACCTGAAGTAACTCGAAAAATTTCCTTTTCGGAAAAGTTTTCCTTTTTTTTTATATTGCAGACATCGCATCAAACGAGATTTCGGTCAAATAGAACACTTTATTTTGTTATCAATCAACTATTTCAATTACAAATCAATCTAGTTCTAATCGATCCCCAGATACTTCAACATCTATTCATTCATCGTTTACCATTTGATGATATTCACCGAACATTTATTACTTTCGCGATTGTTGAAGAATCATTACAACCGTTGATTTCCTCATTGCATGACCTGAAACTTTCAATCAAAACATCTGAAACAAGTTCACGGAATCGAAAACATCTTATCGATCATATTTTTATCAAACATCATCGTCTCACTGTTCATATCGCTGTTTTACATAAATACAGTTCATATTATCGAATACATGTCAACCATCAGTCTTTGCCGAAGAACGTTCATTTACCTTTCGGAGATAAATTGCGTGCGATTGATTAGTAAGAATCTCGATTGATTTTTATCATAAAATTCGCTTTACGAATCTGAATAGTTTCGAAACCGAATTACACGAATATTTGTTTTATTATCCTCGAAATGTGTCACACTTTCTCTGGTTATACAATTCATCGGAATTTATTCATTGTAACCGAACATTAGCTAATCGAATGAAAAAGAAATATAATATCCATGAAAGTATGTCCCAACTCAGTTTGATTGTTAAACCTATGGTCCATATCGGTCAAAGTTTGGATCGATTACAAAAACATTATTGGATTGCCGGAGGAACTCTGCTTGGTAAGACCAACTGAGTCTTTGCTCATTTATTTAATGAGAATGCATTTTCATTTGAAAAGGTTGGTATCGACATTGTGGATTGATACCTTATACCGGAGATGTGGATTTTGGTTTGTTCTATGAAGAATATGACGAAAGTATTCGAAACCATTTTTTGGGCAATCCAGTGACGCATATTTGGGCAGCATTGGGACTAGTGAGTTGTTTATCATTTGAGAAAAATTCATGAATAACATACAAATTAGGTCAATGATTCCTTAGAGTTTCGTCTTTCATCTGGACGTTATGTGTTTGATCTGTTTTGGACATATCGCGAAGGTAATAATGCACGATGGTATGGATATCAAGCACAGCGATCAAAGTATCGACGTAGTCTTCCATTATTTTCTAAAGTGTGTTCTGGTGATTTGTTTGGTTATCGTTTCTCTGTACCCTGTTCACCTATTCAATATCTTAATCATGAATATGGAAAAAACAATTGGACAGTTCCATTACAAAAAGATTACGGATGGATAAACATGAAATATCATTCGATGTGGAATGATATATCGTGGATGTATGCCGTGCGTTTGTATTCACCTAAAGGACATCTGCGCTCGGATGAACTTGCAATTAGTTGGGTGGCCAAGCGTTTCAATTATACTTATGCGTCAGTTCCATCGTTTCTCAATGCTTTACCGAATGAAACTGTCACTCTTCCGCCACTGAAAAGTGAATTTGTTCAAGTTAAACCTCAAAAAGTGGAAGAACAAGAATCGAAACCAGCTCCTGAACAAAAGCCTGTCGAAAAAGAGGAGCAAGAAGAAGAAGACGAAGAAGTAGAAGAACCAGATGGCGAGGGTGGAGAGAACGAAAATGAAGGACAAGAACCAAACAAAGAGGGACAAGAAGAAGATAAGAATGCAGAAAAACCCAACACCGAAGCTCAGGAGGAGAAACAAAATGAAGAAGAACAAAATCAAAACGAACCTGAAGAAAAAAGAAGACGTAAATGAATAAGAATAAAATTTTGTGATATAAAACGATTTTCTTTTAGTTTATCTCGTTTTTTTTTCATTCATCTAATGTAAATAAGAACAAGATGTACAATATGTTGACATTCTATGGTAGTATTGACTACAATTGAACTTGACATGTTTCCGATGCATCGATTCAGTAGCAAACGTTCTTTTAAATAACATTTTGATACAAGATGAAATTATTCGTATTGAATGAACCAGCAGACGATATATTGGTCAAAATTGACCTTTGTCTTTCGAAAAGTAGACGGTTAAGATAGTTTCTTCTTTTCTGTTCATATTGAAACGCATTTGTTTACTTCGTTCTCTTCGTCTGATTCTTTATCTACTGCATTTCCCCACTTTTCACAACGATTTAACAATCATTTTTTTGAAATAACTGTTATGCCTGACTTCGGTCCCTGTGGTGATCCGACATGTTCACAAACAGCTGTTCGTTTATTCGACTGTGCACATCATTGTATGAAAATGGTTTGTCTTCAGCATTTGATCGAACACGATCGAGTCTTCGAACGTAACAAAAAACAATTGGAGAATCAACAATCCGAACTGAAGCGTCTTCAATCGGTTTATTCGTCGTTAATTGATGAAAATAAGATACGTTCGGAATACGAACACAAATTAAACGAGTACAAAAAATTAGTCAATGAAGTTAATTCTTTATTAAGCAATAGATCAACTGATGCTGATAAATATCGTTCGATTGTTGATAAATTGAAAAAGATGATCAATGAGAAACAAAAACAATCCGGTGAATCATTGAGTAAAATTTTCGTCGTTTCTCATTCAAGATTTCGATGATTTTCTTGTAGCTATTGTGAAAGTTGAGCCGATTGAAGAAAATTTATCATTGACAACGACAAGTAGGATTGCACATCCATTTCATTAAACATCAGTTTTCAACTTTCAGAGGATGAGTCAATTTATATTGGTTTTGATCGGTTAGAAAAGTAAACTTCTATTCATTGGCGTTGATTTCCTATTGATTCGATCTTATTTTGAACAGTTTAGTCATCGATACTGATTATCACAAACGAAAAGGTACAATCTTTCCAATAAATTTTCTATAATCATGTTATTTCTAGCTCGTGAACTGGCAATGAAGAAACGTAAATCAGAGAAGTACATATACAACTTTCATTGCAGCACATTATTTTCTCTTTTTCGTTTCACAGCAAACTGACCATTACAGACGATGATGACGATGACAATGATAGTGACGTAAAGAGAAAAGAAACCTAACGTATTTCTTGTTCTCTCATAAAATTTATCTTTTAGATTCCAAATCTTCCAGTTCATCGAATTCCTGGTATTTGCCCATTGTGGATTCAAGGTGCTTATGGTCTTAATACAAAACATCACGCGGTTCGATTATGTCGGAAGAAACATTTCAATGATTTGAGTAATCATATCCGTCAGTTCCATGGTTTATTAACGCCCGTGGCGAATCTGATTGCTCGTGCTGTTGATTCGCAGATTTCGACAATGAAATGTTTAATCCCAAATGATTTGCAAGTGGCTGATTCCCGACGAAGTTTTCTTTGTCCATTTCGAAGTGAATGTTCGACTCAATATTGGTTACCCGGCATCTGTCTCAAATCACATCTTGTCGATGTTCATCACATGACTGAACTGGCAGCTGACTTAAAAATTCAAACAATTCGAAAACTAAATCGAAACAAACCGATGTTAAAAATTAGAAGCAAAATTTACAAAATTATGAAACAAATCGATGGAATGAGTAAATTCTAATCAAAACATTGGTAAGTTGAAACCACAGACGTGCTTTTCCCTAGAAAAGAACTGACACAGTCGAAAATATCTGAAGATTTTTTCGTCTATTTTAGTGTCTCCGACACAGCAACGAACAATGATATATAAACCAATGTTGAAACCTTTTTCTTTTGTCTATGCGATACATAAGAAGAACACGTTCATTGAAATTTTTCGTTTTTTAGATATGCCTCAAAGAGGTCAATGTACGGATTTGACCTGTACGGAAGGTATAACCGAATTATACGAATGTCATTGCTGTAATTGGCTTATCTGCTTGAAGCATTTACTGGAACATGTTGATGTGGCACGAAATGACAGAAGAAAGCAGATTGAACGTCTGCGAAATGATTTGGTTTCGGTTACACATACTTTGCAGCAGCTCGTAGAGAAGAAAATCATGGAGATTGAACGCGAGAAGAAGTTGATTATTCAAGCGAGAACAAAAATTGATTCGACCGGCTGTTCAATCGAAGATTTGAAGGCAATTTTCGACGAAATTCATCAAGCTATCTTCTTGAATGGAAGAGGTTCGTTGTTCTACGAAGTTTTTCCTCTTTTTCTTGGAAATGCGAGCTTGTTTAGAAGAACTTGTTGTCAAAACTGAACCTTCAATAGATTTACTCAGAGTCAATGCTTGTAATGAATGGAATGTAGTCGTTTCGGAGACTTCTTCATTACCAAAATCAAATTTCTCAGAAAGGTTTGTTACAACGACATGAATTCGACTAAAAAACAGCACACTCCATATCTAAATTTTTTAGTAGTCCGTCGTATGTTACTAGAAGAACTTCTAAATGTATGTACGCTCATGGAAATAAACCTATTTCATCGGAATTTGTTTTCATTTAGCCTCTGAGATCATGCCAAACTTATTGACAGGTAAGAACGAAAGTATTGTAATGATTAAAACTTGTTTCTTTTCCAGATGAAGATCATCCAATGGATACCGATTTAGAACTGGCAAGTTCCATTTATGAAGAGTATGTTCACTCTTATCTACTAAGTTAACTTTTACTCATTCCGTTGTGTATTTTCAGAACAACCGTCTCGAATATAAAAGTATGCCTTCTATTTCATGTTATTTAGCTCAATATTCATATCCTAGGACGCAGTCGATGATGAAAATCATGATCTCAAAAATGGAATCAATGCCCAACATATCATTGCTCCGTGTCCGTTAAGATCCCATGGTGCTTTCGGTTTGACTAAAGCCAGACATGGAATTACGTTTTGTACATCACGTATAAAAACTCGACAACACTTGTACACTCATTTTCGAAGCAAACATTGCCTCAAAAGTGTCTATGCAGATCGCCTATGTCGAGCAGTTGCAGATGGACTTCAACCCAAAACAACGAATTTGTTTGCAGACGACGAAGAGGTTACCGATCGTAGTCGTTATATTCCATGTCCATTTACTAATGGAAAAATCAACCTAATCGGGTGTTGTCCACCGTATTCACGAAGGATTCCGTGCAAAAACGAAACAGTTCCGGATACGGATTTAAAACATCATCTGATAAACGTTCATCATATATCTGCTGCAATGGCAAGGGAAATCGATAAAATTTACAAATATAAGTTATTACAAAATAAAAATCAAATTTCAAATTAAATCTTCTTCGGTTTTGGTTTATCTACATGAAACCCTATCGTATGTCTCATATTCATATTGTTTGTTTTATTGATGAATGAAATTAATAAATAAAAATACAATCACATGTATCAGTGAGACAGTTTTCATATAGCGAATGTGCGACATCTATGTCATTTTTTAAAGGAATTTTCACATCCACACAAGAATTTTCTTGTTGGTCTCCACTGATTTTCTTTCAACAAATGAGCATGAACATTTCTCGATATCATAACATTTGAAATGATCATTATCTACTGGTTTTTCCGTTTGCCATTGGGCATAGTTATATCTGGGAAGAATAACAGCCGAGTCGAGTGGATATTTTAATCACTACATTAGTCGAAACACATAGTTCTTCATTGCAATTTCTGTTTCATGTTTTTTTTCCTTAATATGATCTAGATGGCTTCTGCATCGAATCAATCTCAGCAGCAACAACCAATTAACTATTCGGCTGATGCTCAAACAACAACGCCGTCAAATACAACAGCAAAGACTCCGGTTACTTTTGATGAAGATTTGTTTCTTTTTCTTCCTCGTCTTGGTGATATTCTGAAAAGGTAGAGCAATTCATTGACTTCTTCTGTTTCATTTGTGCTTTTTCTTCGAAAGTTTTGACAAAAACTCCACGGAATTCAAAACTAAATTAGAAGATCTTCGAAAACAATTCGAAGCTTGTCAAGACATGGTGTCGCGAGTCGAAGGAATCGATACAACTCTCGACGATCAACGTTCAGAACTCGACCGACTCGACAATGAACTAAAATCCAAGACTGACTTGCTCAAAAAACACATCCAAATGTGTAAATTCGACTTAAACATGCCACCTAAAGCACCACGAACGACATCTGAAACAGAAGAAGACTTAGTGAGCAATCCTCTAGAAAATCCCTCCAATGCAATGAATATAAACGATGATGATGATGAACTTTTCCATTCGGATGAAAATCCCAATTCCCAACAAGAAACTCACAATGAAAATCTTTCTTCATTTTTCCCCTAATTGTCAGATTTGTGTAAATAAAAACAATCTATTCTTTGATAATATTTCAGATACTTTCGTAATTCTTTGTCAATTATGGGTCGGACGGTTTTTATTGAAACAGATGTCGTCACTTCACAACTAAACTCACTTTCGACAAATAAATTCTCCTTCGGATTTCTTTGCGGTCAGTGTACAAAATCTGAACGTGACTATATTCATTACATTATCGACGGAGTGACCTCAAAGCAGACGGATGCTGATTCATTCTTCGACTCATCAACAACCAACAAAGAGTTATGGGCAAAAATCATCGAAGTTACATCTTCATTGTGTGCCGGTGTGTCAATCATTGGTTTCTATTGTCGTGCAAAGGCTGAAACATTGAAATCCGCAAATTTCGCATTGAAAGTCCGTCGTCTATTCGATATTCTTCAAACTGCACTACGAACTTACGCACCGTGGAGTTTAGCTCAATCATCCCATCGAATTTTACTACAATCAGAAATCGGTGGTGGAGCAAATAAATGGATTGTGAAAACGATCGACATGAGCACCGACGCAGTTCATTTTCGCCCGGTGGAAATGAAAACCTTTGAACCGAAAGCGAATTCTGTCTGGTGTATAACAACAACGATTCCATTGCAGTTTAAAGTATGGCTAAATCCAATAGCAAATAATAATGACGATGAACAAGTGAAACTGATTGAAAAACAATTCGAAGAACAATGGAGAGTGTATACAGACAGTTTAAAGGTAAAGAAAGTCGTCTCGGAAGTAGTTTAATTAATCGAAATTATTTAGGAAAGTCTTCTGCTAATGGATGATCATTTACTCTCATTAGAAAATATCAAACTGCCATCGAAATCGAGCACGAGTTCGGTAGATATTCAATGGTTATCTCCGATTGATTGTCCACTATCGGATGCCTATCAAGATGAAAATCGCGTTTGTTACAAATTCGACGGAAGTGCTAATCTGCGATTTTTTACATGCCATTCTGATCTAACAGGAAATGATATCCGACAATATTTCCTCGAGGATCTTTTTCGTTCAATGCTGATTCGTTTGAATTTAACTTTGATGAATATTGACTCAAATTCCAATCAAAATCCTTCTATAGCTCGACTTGTTTTACCACGTCGAATTTATGTCAATCAACCGGTTTTTGTATCTGCGTATCAACTTTTTCATGAGCAATTATCATCGGCAATTGATTCCTTCCAAGAAAACTTTAAAATCACCTCACTTTTGGAAGAAGATCTCGAAGCAGCTGAAGAATTTCCCGTGCAAATCACGAGTGAAGAACGAATCAAACAACTGAACACGGACACGAATAAACACACTCAACAGCAATCATCATCAGCGAAGAAGAGCGTATATCAAAACTTCGTTGCTTTGATTGAGCAATATTTTGGTACTGGGAATGCAGTACTCGTCATATTAATTTTTTCAATAGTCGTGTTATTGCTTAGTATCATGATAAAACTTTTTACATGAGGATAGATGATTTTAAACTATTTTAAAGAATATTTATCGTTGTTATTTTCAAGAAAAATATATATTTGTTGGGAAGAATATCATTGGTCTTGTACTGAAATGTGTTAATCAATGGCAATTCCGGAGTGCCATTAGCAATCGGTTTCTTTCTAACAATTTCTTTTCTATTGATACCTTAGAAAAACATTGGAGAAGCTTTTCTGTGTGTTTGAATTCTTTCTCTTGTGCAATCGAATTACCGATTAATCATTCATCATTTAAAACGAGAAAAGAAAAGGTGAAGTTGATTGCGTGATGGCTGAGAAGGAGGAGGTATCGATGAAAAAGCAACGTTCTTTCTCAATCAGTCTTCTTCATTTTCATGTTTTAGAACAACAATGACGATGAAATCTCAATTAAAACTGTGGCACTTTTCAATGCATACGCAAACGGTTCGCTCACACAACATCAATATTTTCTCGAACTAAAAAAACTCGGCAAAAACTTCATGGATACTTGATGACAATCCGTAGACATGTCTTTCCCTCATATTTGTATCGAAGGATGTTCACAGAAAAACGGTCTGTTTGGAAGGAGATATAAACATCACTGACCTTTCGTCTCATATGTTGCTTGTTACATCAATTTTGATCATTCTACTAAAGATTCTCGAATATCATAGTTGCTGAATGAAACTAAACGTAACAGAAGTCAAGATCGTTTCATAAGTTGATTAATATCATTCGAAAGTAAATGTATTGAATCTGTTCGTATGAATAAAACGTTCGTTGTTCTTTTTATTAATGTACTTCATGTCAACTAACGCGTTTACTTAGTGATACAAAAACGTTTGTATAGTCATTATTAATCTTCTATCGATGTAAAGAACATTTGTTGACTTCTGACCTCTAACTAAGGATTCTTTTCATCAAATATTTCATTTGTTCAATCGAACTCATTTCTGTATGATTTATTCCAATCATCAATTCAATTGTTCAACGAAATCACCATGTGTAAATTTCATCGATTTTTTTTCGCAAATACTTCACTCGCTACCCGTGCTTGACATTACCTTCAATTCCATTTGTTATTATTCTCATCACATACATCAACATGAGTAGGAAGAAGATAATTCTTTTTAATACGAACTTCAAGTAACAAGTTGACTATTAGAGACGCGAAAAAGAGACCGATGATGTAATCTCCTATAATAAGTCATGTCTACATATCTGTAAAGATTAAGATTAGATGCTATAGTTAATTGAATTCATGATCATCAACTAAGTCATGACATTGCTGTTGTAACAATCACTTGAACTCTATGAAAGAAAATGCTGTCAATGAAATAAACACATTGCAACCTCTCGTTGGTCGAAAATGTCGATTATCTCATCATATTAGTAATATCATTTCCTTGTCAAGGTTAATATGATGTCTAAAGTATCTTTGAAGTCAACTAGCATGTTCTCTATGCGCGGCAAGCAACAGATAACATCATCTGCAATCTTCCGTTTTTTTTTCTTCTTTATTACAAAACGTCACATCATTTTCATGTTGAGATATTCATAGTGAAATTATTCTCTTTCTTTTGCTGCTGTTGCTCGAAGGAGTACTGATCATAGTTCATGAGGACATGTGAAAAAAAAAGATGAAAGAAGTCTTGGTATCAATGATTAATGACTTCTAGTCAACGAATGAATGTAAGAACATGTGAATTGACAAATTCGAATCGTTTGTCAGTTATTCTTGGTGTTTTTGATAAATCTATGATTTTCTCGAAGAATTATTTCCAAGGACGATTCGTCTGTCGACCTTGGTCTTTCACGTAGATACTAAACCTTATACACTGCAAGTTCTGTCTATATAGAAACATTTTTTTTCTTCCTTTACTCTCCTTCTCTCTTCTTCGTTCTCTTTCGTCTCTATTTTTTTATTCTGTGCTCATTCTAAGTCAAAAAGAAAGCAAGAAAAGAACCGCAAAACGTTTGGTTTTACTTCTCTCGAAGAGTGTTGCTAATAAACCGCAAAAAAACAATTCATTCTCGTTGTTGACAGACTGCGGAAAACTCCAAGATCAAATTCTTCATTTCCTCCTTCGCCATGCCTCGTCATTATCATATATGGGTAAGTAGAAAAACAAAACAATAAGAACAAAACATCTCCTACTATCAATTCTTTCCATTCTTAGTGAATTATAAATGTTGACATCGGTATTTGAATCGAGATGCATTTCGATACAAGACTATTGATTCGATATTTACTATTGACAATCAATTTAATTAGTTGCTTTTGTCAACATTCGGATGAAAGTAGTTATTATTCATTAATTGAATTTCATCGTGGTGGACCATTAACAACTGTGATATTATCATCACCACATGGTGGCTTTCTTGGCGCTAACCTAAGCTCAATTCAAAAAGGAAAATCATCAATTAATGACATATCAATCGCACCATTAGTCCAACTACCTATCGGTGGTTGTTATAACAATACTTTAGATCGTTGTGTCTATACATTACGAGATTGCTTAAGATCAGATGGGAACAATGGTGATCAAATGTCTTTTCATCCTGATGCACGTTGTATTATTGACCGAAGTTCAACATCAGCTATGTATTCATTAACCAAAGCTATTGCTGAAGTCTTTCCATTGGAACGTCGTCCGTATACAATTTTAAATAAATTAACTCGTCAATACGTTGATCCAGCAGAAGATTTACTCGCTGGAACATTTCTACTCGAGAGTGCAACGCGTGTTTATATGGATTATCATCGTTTAATCGCAATTTCCAAAGAAGCAATACGTTCATCATCAGCGAGTCTTTTCATTGAATTCGTTTTTCATAAAAATTCACAAACTGTTCAACTTGGCTATGGTTTCGACATAAGTCGATCATCAGCTATAACTAAACCGTCCCAATCAACTATCAATGAACTTATCTCTCGTTCAGGTTCGAATGTGATCAAAGGCAATCATTCGTTGGCTTACTTCTTACAACGGAATGGATTTCAATTTGTCGTTCCCTTGGAACAACAACGTCAAAGTGTCCATCGCACATCCACTCATTCCACCCGAACACATGCGGATCAACGATGTAATACGATCGTATTTTCATACCCAATTGAACGTTTAAGAACTCATACTCTCAAATTAGAAGCAAATCGTATCGCTAAGGCTATCGAACAATTTCTCCAAACAAATCGTTTTAAATCGAATTTATCGATGTGTTTATCTTTGACCAATCCTCTCAATATACTATTCTTGTTATTCTTCTCACAAACCTTTCTCTATTATGTATATTTATGATTAGTATTACAAGATCATATTCATGTGTTCGTTTCTTTTTTTGCGTCAAACATTTGTTCGATGATAATGTTGTGATTAGAATTCATTCGACATAGGAACATTATTTTATATAATGATTGACAGTGAAATGATTTTCGACTGAATAGAACACTTTTCGGATGAATTCTTTCTTTTATTAGATTATAATTATCTTGGACATAAAATGTTTCTTGTTTCATTGTTAGTTGAACACTGCCGGTCACTGATTGATATAGAACAGCAGATGGTTAAACGTCGCGTCCTAATCAATCGGAGACATGAACAGGATGAACGTACTTTTACTACCAGCTGTGACATAATACACATTTTCATTATCAAATGGAATAGAATTTCCTTTTTAATAGTTATTAGAATTGAACATTGAAATTGATAGAGAACAAAGAAACAGTTACTCTTACATGCAACACAAAGCCATTTGCCAGTTAGTAGTTTGACATGTAAGAATGGTACCGATTATACGGACCAGCCGTTAAGTATAATAAACAAAAAAAACAATACATCGATGAATTTCATATCTGACATAACGAAAAAAGGAGCGAGAGTGAGAGAGTTTATGTGAATCAAATCGCATTATTTTCCGAATTGCAGATTTCCCCAAACGGACAACTGAAGACTTTACAAGATGCACATTTGAATGGAACTGTATAGAATAATGTAATTAAGACAATGAACAAGGCAATCGTCGTTGCTAATGCTGTTGTTACAACTACGAGATGGCGAACATTTTTTTTGTAATTAACATCAGGGAAAACGATCATATTTAGCAGGAAACCAATAAGAAAACCAAAACACTGGGCATAGTTGTCAACTAATGGAAATAGGCCGACAGCAAATAACAGGAAAAGACAGATAATAATTTTGAAAAATGGTATCCAAGGACGTTTTAACGAACGCCAGCCAAGAAATAATTCGCTTAGATAACAAGCGAGAATAGCGAATTGACCACCACCTGGTCCGACTTGTATCGTGTCACGTAGAAACAGAGCACTCGCTAAGCTTCCAACAAAACCCGAAACTATGTAGATGATCATCACACGAACGCAACCGGCAAGCTTTTCCAGTGGACGCATGATCGTGTATTGAAATATAATGGTAATCAGTAAATGAATCAAACTAAACGAAAGAAATAGAAAACAAGTGTTTTAATAACGAAGAAATTCATACCCGGCATGAATGAAAATAACTGTCCAAAAACGGTAAACTTGATCAGGTAGTCGTGCTACGAAAAATTCCAGCATACCGCAAACACTTTGAATACAATCGACCTACAAATATTTTTCTTTAAGTTAATGTTAATATCGATGGTTAGAATTTACTTGGGAGCATAAATGAGCTCGAGAATGAAATATTCCTCGTCGACGACGACAATCTTCTTCGGATGTCAGTATACAATCGCCCAACACTCCCGTACAGCATGGTCTCGCTGAAAATCGAAACGTCGACAAAGTTCATGTTTTGAGAGAAATAGTCTTTTTAAAGAAACTTACCGATATTCACGCAGTCCATATGTGGATATAGTGATATATTGTTGGCAATTCGGTCATAATTTTGTTGGAGACAGATCTGAAATAGTAATGTGATTTGATCTAATGTCTTCTTTTGAATGAACTTACTGGCCATTTCACAGCCGATGGAGACCATTTCAATACTTTCGAGTTGACGATTGTTGATGGCCACGTGCTGTCGTCTTCTCTTGGCATATTTCCAAAAACCTTCTTTGTACAAGTTCTAAAAAATAGTCGATTTATAACCGGAGAATTTCGCTGATTTCGATTACTCTGGTGTCAATCCACAAACAGCTGGATAAATCATATTTCGCTGCTCATACGAATTATTGCTTTTCAATGCTGTTCGATACCAAGTTAAGCTAGTTCGTGACTGCAAAGAAAAAGCATTCGCTCCTATCGCTTTAATCTTACAAAATTATCAATTGTTTTATACCAGACATTGTTGGGATAGTGTTTGCATACAACGTCCAGTGCTTGTGTCAATACAACATCCGGACATAGCTTCTAATCGAGCTTGATTTTCATATCGGCTTTTGACTTCGTCATGCGAGCGAATGCATGGGGTATATTTTGCTCCTAGTCGAATTAAATCAGCGGGATGCGGTCCGAACCATGGGTTTATTGTTAAATCAAATCGTTGTTGTTCGAAAATGGACGAATTGTTCTATAATAAATTTTTCTATATGAATTCAGAAGAGAGATGAATTACCGATTGTGATAGTGATAATGGGGCGTAGCCATATACGATTAAAGAAATCACGCACACAAGAACTTGAACGAATGTCACCCAGTATGTAAAATATGGACGATGAGAACGATAAGATTCTTGAATTTCGAGGAGTTTTTTCTGTTGGGCTAATCTTGATTGACGATTTTTACGAGAAAAACGTGAAAAAAACGCATTGAATGGATTTGCTCGTCCTGTCACGACAGTCGCAGTTGGCACTACGTCATTATTCGCTTGTGCTGATTCAGCACTAAAAAGTAGTCATTTATTTGAAGATCTTTTTCATGCTTTAAACTGTACCATGGATGCGAATCAACTTGATCCTGCTCATCAAGTGTACTAGATGGCGTCGCAGATATTTGCTCTTGTTGTTGATTTCTATTCAATAGCACAATGTTTTTCAAAGACACACTTGATTTATCTGCTAATTCATCTTCATCATCTTCCTAGAACAAAAAGAAAAGGAATATCTAATGTATCATTCATTGTATTTCAGAGAAAGCAGATCAACGAGATGTTTTTTTCCTAAGCAAAATATATAAGTTCACATGAGGCATATACCTCATCATATGAGCTCGATGCAAGCATCGATTTCGTACGTAGCACTTCATCTGTCTGAAAACGAGAAGTAATCATAATGAACAAACTACTCGTTCGATCTTTACTTACGGAAAGTAAATTACGAACGCCAGTCACGGCCATTCCTAAAATTGATTCACGTTTGACGTTTAACGCTTCCGAGTCGAGACTTCCAGCTTTGACGAGTTGTGATGTTGGAATAATCGGCCTTTATATACATAAGTAAACAAGTCACATTTGTTTTTACTTACTTATGTTCAATATCGGTGCCTTGTTCATTTCCACCGATTTGATCCGTAACTTCCTCTTTCAACTCTCCACCAAACATACTATATTTACTGAGGAAATTGTAACGTCGTTGTTGCCAGTTTTCTTTGTGTAATCCAGGCGTAGCAGCAGCCGCTGCTAGAACTGGACTAGCGTTTAATTGCATTACACTATAATATAAACAACAGAAGTTAGTTTTTTATCTACACGATCTCCATATAAGTTCTATGTTTAAGCTTAAGTATATCCGAAATGTATTTTATCTACCGATCAAGTGTATTGAATTGTTCCGAGGCAGTGCGTCTCTTTCTTACAGGACCGATTGTGACATTGCCGCCAGGTAATTGTCGGAGAATTAACCCGTTGGACGGCAATGGTATTTGCGAAAGCAGTCGTTTTGTACGACCCATTGTTGTTGTAGGAAATTCGATTGCGGGTAATTTGTCATCATTCTCATCTTTAGTCGTCATCTGTTACATTCAAACGGTTTTGAGATGAAGGACAAAGAAGAAAAAACGCGTGTGAAAATGACTGAGAGGGAGCATAAAGAAATAAATGATGTGTAACAAGAGAAAAAAGATATGAGATGGTTTGATGATAGATTCATCTCTTTTTTCAGAAATGACGAGAAATAATTCAATCCCAGATGAGACGAAAGAATATATAAAATAAGTAATCAATCGATTGTTGTAGAAGAATGCTCAAGAAATTGCATTATAATCGATGACAATCTGTCCTAAGGAAATAGAACTTGGTAAGATTTTAAAAAAGCAGAATATTTGTTTATTATCATAGCAGTAAATGTGTTTTTTTTTGTCATCGAAACAGAGTTATAGAGAGCGAGAGAAAGGAATAACAATAACTGTGTTTTATCAGTTCCTTTATGTATCTCATTCCGCAGAAACTAATAATAGTCGTATGTATATTTAGTTACTATTCTTCTTCTTCTGTCGTTATTCTGTCATTAACGATCAATGAAACAACTCATATACGTGCTCTAGTAAATCCTGGATTAGAAATCTTCGTCATTATTATTTTTAATTTATTCAGTCTTTACCTGTTCTCAAGATTTCGTGTACCATCATTGTGACTTATTGTTGAAATCGATGGCGAGAGAGGAATATTCTCACCTTTCGTCATATTACTTGATAACGAATGATACTGAACGATCGAAGACATTGATGATGTCATATTTTAATTGCGATACACACATATACATGTTATTGTTACACGAATTCCATGAACTACATCGTTATTTTGTGTATATGTATGAAAGCAATCAAGTGACGATATGTTCTATCAAACAATTCATTGTATATAATTGTACGAGAGAGAAAAAGTCTTGTTCCATAGACATAAGTAAACTTGTTACTTACACACGTTCTTTCTTTCTTTCTTTTTTTCTTTTTCTTCTGGCCTTAGTTACTATCAATCATCGATACTATCACGTATCGACCTTTCTTTTTCTTTATTCTTCTTAATAGGTTACAATCGTCAAGAAAGCTTACCGCTTGGTTAAATTATACCATCCAATAGGTTGATTTCCACTTGCAGATGAATTCACTGATATTGACGACGGATTAGTGCTATTCTCATGTTCAAGGACACTTTCCACAGCAAGATTCCATAATTGACGACCACGAGATGAGTTACCTCGCAGATTTTCTTTATCAATCGGACTGCTCGGCGATGATAAAGANTAATAGGTTACAATCGTCAAGAAAGCTTACCGCTTGGTTAAATTATACCATCCAATAGGTTGATTTCCACTTGCAGATGAATTCACTGATATTGACGACGGATTAGTGCTATTCTCATGTTCAAGGACACTTTCCACAGCAAGATTCCATAATTGACGACCACGAGATGAGTTACCTCGCAGATTTTCTTTATCAATCGGACTGCTCGGCGATGATAAAGATTTTCGCGGTTGAAAAAACGATGGTGGTGCTTGTGTACGACCTGATAAGATTTAGGTATTGAAAAGAAAAACAGAACAAATCGTCTTCTCAATAACCTTTTCGAGTTGAATGGCGTCTAATTTGTTGATTATCCTTCTCTGCCATTGATTAAACTCTATTTTTAAGTAATTAAATCGGTATCATTTGTCTTTTGAGCATAAATAAACATCGTACATGGGGTTCTAACCGAATTCAATCAATCTATTGATTGGATCGTATTATCAGACACAGAGAGACATCTTAAAATGCCATGATTCGTTTACAGATGACGCTCAACGGCGAGGTGACTGATTTGTTCCTGTCAAACATTGCATTCGTTAGAGGCGATTCAAGGCAAACGAAAAAACATGTTTTCATGAAGATTTTATATCTTATCGTAAGACATTCATTGTTCTTGTGAAATAAGAATACCTTTGTTTTTCAACGGTGGTGTCTTATCAATTTCTTCAGGTAACTATTTATCTTTTTGATGTTTATACGCATTATTTCAGCTCTATTATCTCTAGCTTCTATTCTTGATATAGCCTTACCCCCCTCTGTTTCGTATATAAGGAGCGAAAACAAAAAGATAAAAGGTGTGTGTCTCGAAACGGTCTATAACTAAGACAAACGAATATTCTTTTTTGTGTATTTTCTGCAATGCCAATTCAATCGCCCATCTATTTAGTTGCTAGCGGTGATTCTCGTCTTGCTGCTAATCAAACATGTTGGGAAGCACAAGATAAACTTGAAAAAGCCCTTGGTAAAGCTCTAGAATCACTTGGACATCAAATCAAACGTGCACATGAATACGATGAAACAAAAAAACATGGTTTTGTCGATAGTCAACGAATGGGCATGAAAGTTTTCGCCAATTTACCATCAGATGACGTACCATTGATTGTTGCTGAAGCTGTTTGGCAATATTCACACCATGTTCTAGCCGGTTTAACAACACATAAAGGTCCAATATTGACTGTAGCCAATTGGTGTGGACAATGGCCAGGGCTCGTCGGAATGTTGAATTTAAATGGTTCGTTGACGAAAGCTGGTGTGAAATATAGTACATTATGGTCGGTGGATTTCACTGATGAATTTTTTATCAGCAAACTCAAGGAATGGTTGGAAACTGGAGATATCCAGCATGATGTATCACATGTACGAGCACTGAAAGAATGTAAAGCAGTTCCGGATGATTTACAGAAGATTGGACAAAAAATTGCCGAAGATATTCTGAAAAATAAAGCAATTATGGGTGTGTTTGATGAAGTATGAAAATAGAAGAATTTAAACATTTCGATTGTCAATTCTTTGTTATAGGGCTGCATGGGAATGTACAATGCCATCATACCGGATGAACTTCTTCATAAATTGGGAATTTTCAAAGAACGTCTTAGTCAATCAGCCCTGTTTTATGAAATGCAAGTTACAAAAGACGAAGAAGCTCGTGCTGTTTACGAATGGATAAAAAACAAAGGCATGACGTTCGATTTAAAAGAACAACCGAACGATAAAACTGATCTCACAGAAGAACAAATTCTCTGGCAATGCAAAATGTACATCGCCGCTGTTCGCTTAGCCAATGATTTTGGATGTGATTTAATTGGTATCCAGTATCAACAAGGCTTGAAAGATTTAGTTCCTGCTTCCGATTTAGCTGAAGGCCTATTGAATAATGTCGATCGGCCACCAGTGAAAGATCGTGAAAATAAAGCAGTTCTTTTCGAAAATGCAGCTGTTCCACATTTCAACGAAGTCGATGAATGTGCTGGTGTCGATGCATTGATCACCAATCGTGTCTGGAATCAACTGGGTTATTCACCGGAAACAACTCTCCACGATGTTCGTTATGGTGAAGATTATGATGGTGTATTTACATGGGTATTTGAAATTTCTGGTGCTGTTCCACCTGAACATTTGATTGATGGTTACAAAGGTTCATTTAGTTTACGACAGCCTCCCATGTACTTTCATAAAGGCGGTGGTACCATTCGTGGTGTATCAAAACCCGGTGAAGTTGTTTGGAGCCGAATTTATACAGAAGATAATCGTTTGAAAGCTGATCTTGGCCGCGCACGGGTCGTTGAATTGCCCAAAGAAGAAACTGAACGTCGTTGGCGTGATACAACTCCACAATGGCCAATTATGCATGCACAATTGCTTGGCGTTAGCCGTGATCAGTTAATGGCGAAACATAAAGCAAATCATGTTCAAGTTGCTTATGCGCCTGATGCTCAAGGTGCACAAAAAGGTCTAGCAGCGAAAGCAGCATGCTTTCAAGCACTGGGTATTGAAGTTTTCATATGTGGCACTGAATCTGGACTTGATTCGTAGATTATCCAATGGAAGTTTTTTTAAAATCTAATATTAGTTTTATGTCATTTTGTCTAAATAATCCGAATAATACAGTTTTTGCTTGATTTGAAAAAGTTCTGAACATAGGAATCTTGTTTCTCTAATTTTCAATCATCGCTCTCCTATGTCAAGCAATATAGATGAGTAACTACTTCATCTGAATGTTAACTTGTTCCGCAATGTATGATGTTTCATCATCTATTCAAGTAGAAAAACGAAGAAGAATTATGATGAAAGGATGTTTATTTAATAAAATTTGTCCTTTGAAACGAATATTTGCTTTCCTGGTGCGATTCAAATAGCCGAATCATTTTCGTCAAATACTCTTTTAAAATTGGTGTTCTGGAACTTCTTATCAACTACAGTTGCTTTTCTTAATTTTTGCATTTTAATTCTCAACGCAAGATGATCTTTTACTTCTAAAAGTAGAAATAAAATTATCCATACTTGTGCTAAATAAGAAAAAGAAGACTTATATGAATTCATACCTAAATATGTATCATTTTGGAATAACTTTGTCAAATAATCTAATGGAATGATACAATGACCTTTGTTGAAACGAGTTACAATTTCATCAATCTAAATTGAAGAAAAGTTGTTCATATCGGCATCTCCCAGATCGAACAATCCGGCACGGGAACGGCCGGTTCCGTGGTATTCCGGAAATTTCATGGAATCCTGCTTCCGAAACCATCGTCCTGGGTCCGTATTGTAGGCAAAATGACCGAAAATCGACAGTGAAGTTCGTGCAATATGTAATAAGAAGTCGTCGATATTATCTATCTTTTAATAGTAGCGTTGCAGTTTCATTGCAATAGAACACATCGTTGACTTCTGGTATTTGAGCGCATCCGAATATTGTTCATATAAAAGGTTTCAGTATCAGTTCCTTTCTATCTACTCAGAATATTGATGGAACGCCGACTTCAGTAAACGTGTTTTTCATTTGATTTCACACCGATTCCAGAACATCCGTCTACAAAAAAGACAAAATTGATATTTGTTTAGTATTTTTCTATAAAACTTACTCTAAAGAGATCAATATACTCATCGAATCGAAGAAAATGTACGCTCAAATTCATTACGAGATAAGTATTCGTTAAAATTTGAGACATCGCGCACAGAGCGATATTTTGGGACGGACAAGTTGCGATGAACATCTCTTCAAGACCGAATTTTTTATTGATATTTCGGTAAATCACACCATATGACTGAACACTTGTTTGACATTGTCACAAAACACTTTTCGAGAGGAAATAAATTTCAGGAAACAGCCAGAATGAGCGTTACTCGATTGTAGATGAAAATTAAAATAGAGGATTTTATTTAATCGATGTGTATTGTAAATGGTAGATTCCGATGGCGAATAGATTGTCTTTTGTTGATGTGAGACTGAAATTGTTTGATTTTTCATGTTCTGCTGTCTTTCGACGTTTCGACTTGCAGCTAAGTGGTCATTTTCAAGATATTGGTGTTAATAGTTGATTTTCTTCTTTTTCTAGTATGTGCAGCTCATTTTCTCTTGTTCCACTGAGATATTCAATTTTTATTCAGAAATTGATACCACTTACAATGCACATCTATTAACACAATTTATCTCATGTCGCTCTCTATTTCTGAATAAAAAAAGGATTTTCTTTATTGAAAAGCATCAGTAAATGTTGGGATGAGAGAAGAATGGATGAAAAAAATGTGAAGCGAAAGTTTGATGCTACCAAGGCTGACATTTCTTGAAGCCATGAACTATTCTGCAATTTAAACCATGACAACATCTTCCTCTTCGTTTTCCACAGGATTGATTACGTTCAAGACATCGTCCCGCAGCTCGTTTGTTCATGCCAGTCGGATGCAACACATCATCACTCATCGAATAAATTGGGTGTTCGTCGTCTTCTGCGGTATAGCTAGTTTTTGTTACTAAAATCATTGATACAAGTGTTAAGACAAGAAAAGAGAAAGCAAGTTTTGTTTGATGCATTGTTCGTCCTCGTCAAGTGATGTGTAAGTTAATTTCTTATGTATTAAAACATAGAGATAGAACCTATATATACTTTTCATACTTGGGACTTTCCCCAAGACATCCCGTATGCAAAAAATGTTGATGTCATTTTAATGAGGTGTATGGGAAGCAAAATAGTCCCACTAGTGACTCAACAGGAGAGCCAACAGTAAAAGATCAAACGAATGTGGATTACAACGATGAAGAACGGAGAAATTGAGGGCATTACGATAGCTATTTATTAAAATAGAGGAGACATTTATCCATTGTGTTATATAGGAATGACGCAAAGTTATATTTCTCATGACTCAGCGATACAATTGTGTGGAAGACGTAAAATAACGGGAGAAGATCATAATCTTTCAGCATATAATCAATCATCAGTCGATAAGCAAATAATGCTTTCATCAACCAGGAAGAGTAGAATCATATTACACGTTTGATTGTGATTTTATGCGCTATAGCGTATTCCAGGAAATTGGAAAATTCTAACTTAAGCCCATAATACCCAATATGGAAGTTCACAACAAGCGAGATGAACCTAATCCTCATTACGAACTTTTCATAATAGGGCGCCGACACCCTACTAAGAGAGATTCCTTCAGTAGATAGAATCACATATTTTAAGCGGGTAATACCCCCATTATGTCCTATACGAGAATTATAGCTGTTCGAACTGTTCAGTTTGTCCGATCAACAGATTCAATTTCCGGGAAATCAGTTGATACCCAAAACATATAGAATTTCCCGGTAAATGCTATAACACATCATATGGATATACGTCCTCGTGGTTTCTCTTCGTTTTGACTTTTCATTAAATCAAAACCTATCTTGCGAAGTTTGGTGGTCGTAGCTAACAGCAGTGTTATGGCTAACATGCAGGTAATCTGGGTGAGATACACCCATTTCCTGAATAGAACAGATCCTTACCATGTCGTTCCTCATCACATATTGACATTTTCTTAGGTCAAACTTACCATAGATGTACTTGAATGGTGTGTGATATTCTCTATCAGAGAACTGCATGAGTGAAATTTCACCAAGAACACACCCATGTTTACTCTCTCACTGATTTATCAGCACTCTTTCCAGGTTTTCTTAGTCTCGAGAAATCTGCATGGGAAGTTTGGCAATCATAATTGATACAGGAAATGAATGTGTAGTGAGCGAGTATACAATCATGCGATTTTGTATATAGGAATCTGTGAAGATTTTCCCGAAACTCAGTATTAGAATACGGATCGGGCTCATCTACGATTCGACTGAGGAACTGACGAGATGATACTGTGTAAAAAAACTTCAGCTCAATCTGATTGTTCTATCGAAGTCATCGGATAAAGGGGCGGACGGACATACTGATTGATTCTAGTAGTGTATCCACTTTTTGAGTACGTCAAAAATAATAGACTATTTCACTGGATACAAATTCATCTGAGATAATCTAAAGAAATAGAAATGAATTCTTTATCCTTTTATATTACGTATCCTTGTTGTTTCCTCAAGTTCTTTGAAATTATATAAAACTAAGTAGTCGCTAATATCTTCTACTTACTTAGAAAAGGAAAATCGCAATAAAAAATGAATGAGTCGAAAAAGATAGTGTTGCTGCGTTCTGCAGCACTCACCAATTTGAAACTACCTTATTAAATACTGCAGTTTATGTCAACAGCGCCGACTTCCTTACTTGCCTTTCGTTCCAAGTAAAACTCGACAAGTTCTATCGATTCCAATCATAAAACTTTTCATCCACACCCTCACCCTCACCCTCAGATGAGCATATCTTTCAAGTATGAATATTGCTTTTAATAAAAGTGCGACTGTATGTAGAAAATTTTCGATATACAAAGCCATTCCATTAAAAGAAAAGTATGAGTGACACATTTCTATATGGTGTCTATTAGAAACGTCTTACAACTTTGAATCGTTTCTTCGAAGCTCGTACCACAGAAGAATTTCCAAGACGGCGACTGTATTTATATCGTTTTTTAGTTGATAATGATCAGAAGATAAACTCTTTAGATCCGTATTATATTTCTGTCGTGCATAATAAAGTGCCTCTTTCAACTTTTTTTGTTTGAAGAACAACTCCGTAAATTTGATGTAAATTATAGTAAAATTTGGATGATTTGGCGGAAGTGAATGAATATAAATAGTAAGGATTTGTTTAAGACAGTCAATAGCTTTATCGTAGTTACCTAGTACACAATGAACGTGCGAAATATTGTCCAAAGACGGAATAAGTCTGATATGATTAGTTTGATTTAGTTTTAAATCGATTTCATAACCTTTCTCGAACATTTCTAATGAATTATCAAATTTGGATTGCAAGTAAAGTGCAGCTCCTAATCTATTGTAAGTGATTGATAATATTTCAACGTTTGGCGAGGGACATTTTTCATGTATATGTAAAGCTTTTTCAAGGCATTCTATTGCAGCATCAATATGCCCTTGTTCGTGGTAAACTTGCGATAGGCCATTGTAGGTGTCAGCTATTTTGCTATGATTTATTAGTTTTTGTTTTAATTGGATATTGATACTTTTCTTAAATGCAGCTTCTGCTTTTTCATAATCTCTCTGATCTCGATATGCGACTGCTAAATTACCATAAGTCTCGTGTAGAAGAGGATGATCTCCTGGTAATGATTTCAGTCGTATTTCAAGAGCTTTTTCAAGACCAGCGATTGCTCTTTCCAAGTCATTTCCTGCAATGCATACCAATGCAAGATTATTATAAGTCGTCGCAATATCAATGTGATCATGTGGAAGCACTTCTTGCTGTAAATGCAAAGCTTTGAAACACCACTCTAGTGCGTCTTTGAACTTTTTTTGCTTGTAATGTGCAACACCTAGTTTTTGGTATGTATTGGCAAATGTTGGATGGCCTGGTGAAAAAAGTTCTATTTGTATCTGAAGCATCTTCTTAAGATATTCTGTATGTTTATTGTGATCGCCAAGAGAATCGTATAATGATGCGAAGTTATCATACAATGCTACAAATGACAAATCATTGCTGGGCAAAACTTGTAACTTGATATGGAAAGATTTTTCGTACATATTTAGGGCTTCTTGAAATTTTTTCTCTCGAAAATAGACGGTACCAAACGTGTTGTAAATGTCGGATAAATCGACACTACTGGAAGGCAGTAATTGTAGTTGTATAGATAGTGCTTTGTCTAAATACTGAATAGCATCAGGATTATTTCCCAATCCACTGCACGCTTGAGCAAGATGATTGTAAGATCTTGCCTTATCAGAATGATCCAAGGGAAGAACATTTGATCGAATATCTAAAGCGTTTTTATAGGCATCAAATGCTTCCTTAAACTTATTTTGTTTCATAAAAGCACCACCCAAAGTGTCATATATTCTTGTAATCTTTGCATAATCCAATGGCTTTGAGTTAAGTTGTATCTTCAGAGTTTTGTCTACAAATTCTACTTGTTTATCATATTTACCACACCGATTATATAACAATGAGATGCCATAATAAGTGTTTGCAATTGCATTTTGATTATTGGCTAAATCGTTCATCCAAATGTTTACGGCTTTTTCATACATTTCTAATGCTTCTTCAAATTTATCTTCTTCGCAGTATGTTGAACCTAAGTTGTGATAAGTTATTGCTAAATCAGGATGAGTTGGTAAGAAAAATTTCTCTCGTATTTCAAGCGCTTTACTATATGATTCAGCTGCACGAGTATATTCACCAGAATCTAAGTACACAGTTCCAATATTATTGTAGTATCGTGCAATGTCAGGATGATCGTTAGGAAGAAACTTCAGCAAATTTTCAAGAGATTTTTCGTACCACTCTATTGCTTCGCTAAATTTTCCCTCTTTATGACAAGTTGTACCTAAATTATTATACGTTCTTCCAAAGTCAGGATGATCATAGGGAAGTGAATGTTGTTGACTAAACAACACTTTCGAGTAAAATTCTGTTGCCTTAACATAATCTTCAAGCTCATAAAAAGCTGTAGCAATATTATTGTATGTCATCATCATATCAGGATGATTTGCGGGAAGAATGTTATCGCGAATAGACAATGATTTTTGATAACTTTCAAGTGCTTCAGAATACCGATGTTGTGCTAAATATATTAAACCAATATTATTATGAATAGTTCCGATTTCGTTCGACTCCAACGCGTCAACGTCCAGTTGATAAGTGTTCAGTGCTTTCGCATAGAATGCAAGAGCTTTTTCAAAGTCACCCTGTTCACGACAGTTCTCACCCAAATTATTGTATATTGGTCCCATTAGTGGATCTGTTTCAGACAGATGTTGAAGCAAAACATCGACTGATTTTTGAAAATGTGTATTTGCTTTTTCTCTTTCATTCAAATGCATATAAATCAAGCCAAGGTTATTGTAGATGTAAGCATAATTTCTGAATTCACTTACAAAATC